TATAGACAGGTGGTAAACATTTTTCGATTTATTTTAAAATTACTTAAAATAAAATTCAAAGTAAAGTACGAAAAAATTCAATTTTTACAAAGAATTATCCTGAACCATTGCAAGCCATATATACATATGCCATAAAGCGTTTTTGGTTCAACTATTTAAAAATTTAAGAATTATCATTTATCATTTGTAAAGTAACATATAGTAGTATGAATAATGCACATTACACATCGATTCAAAAGTTGTGCACCACTCTGTTTTAATGTGAAAGAATTTTTCGGGGAAAGCAATTTTTTGTGTACCGTCGTTTGGGGTGAAATTAATCATAAGAAAAAGTTTTTAGCCAGGATTTGGTATTTGTGCAAAATTTGATTTTTGTAAATAAGTTTTTTCGGTAAAGAAGATGTTAGTGATTGAAACAACACCAAATAATCAGAAAATTTGAAAAAAATACTAAAGGCCTGGAACGAACAAAATGTCCTGAACAATCTCATACTACGTGTGGAGTGTGATTGATCGCGTTTTATTTAACGCATTGAATAAGCCGTATACCTACATAGAAACTGATTAATCTAACCCCAGTCTATTTTAAAGTCATGGTTTAAATTTTATAGAATTCTTTAGCATTTGGGGTGAGATTGATCAATGGAAAATTTTATTAAAATTAAAAATTTTAAAAAAACTTTTACTAATACGAATTTTCAAACTTGGATATATTCAATTCGGGACACAAAATATTCAGATTCATGTCAGATAGCCTCTTCAGCGTCTTCTTCTAAAGGTTCGTCATCTGATTGATCGTTAGTTACTGGTCCATTGACATATGATTCGCTAGAGCTATCATTGTTTGCTGTGACACTTCTGCCAGGCTCCACCGTTAGCTTCTGGTGTTTTATGTTTCTTCTTGTCGGTGCTGCTGAGAATCGTTGTTGTTGTAAATAGTTTAAAAGGGTATCACTAATATCGGCCCCAGGGTTATTATAATTTGCTGCAATTTTGCATAAAATACGCTCTGGATCAATTGGTATAATTGCAGTTGCTTGAAATGAACTGATGGGGTCATTCTTAATGGCATTATCGGATATGTTTTCCATTTCGGCCAAAGTAGAGACAAGCAGGTGCGGAAAGTCCTTCTTATCTATTGACGTTTGCTCTTTATTTGCCGCCTTCCAATTCGTCAAAACTCTTCTCCACGCATTTTTGAATGAGCGGAAAAATCCCACGTCTAAGGGTTGGGTAATGTACTGCAGAGTTTTTCAATGGAGTCAATCAATCTCACCCGTACTAAGTGATTAATCTGACCCCGTTGAACAAATTAAAGTATAACCTCACAATTCACGATCCAAAATTAGTAAATTTCAGAATATAACTTGCAGAAACATCAACAAATAGCGCCATGCAATCAGTGTGTTCGTTACTATTTCACAATTTGACTTACCAATCCAAGTTCTAGAAGTTGTAAATGAAAGCAAAAACAGTTAAACAATTTGAATGGATTTTTAAAACAAAAAACAGCGATTTAACGATGTTTTACACATAATAACGATGATTTACACATTCCCTTCGACCATGTTTCTAGTAAACACACTTGGCGGTTTTACATTAAACGAACCGACGATTCGCGCGTCACATTTGAATTAATAAAAATGCAACCTAGTGATCAATCTCACCCCCGGAGATCAATTTCACCCCAAACGACGGTACTTGCTTCAATGTTTATCATAATCAATCATCGCATATTTGAATTTGAATTGAAAACTTGATTGAACAAAAAATGTTCGTTCCAAAAATATCTAACATAGCCTTTCCCAAGTCTGATTATTATTATGGCAAAGCCAGTCGCATTTCATGATTTAGGGTGTGAAAATGAATCATCATGTCATAAGCTAGGATTAAGTGAGATTGACCGTGTAATAGTGACCACGCCATGGAAACTCCAATGGCGATGACAGTTTAGAGAACATATCTCGTTCCCATGGGCCATGGGTCGTTCGTAGGGACATCAAAGGGCGCTAAAGCTGCATAAATCATGATGCATATTCGTACATCTATTATCGATCGGCTTCAGCTTGAAATAGTTGATAGTTGGAAGTTTCAGTTATATCAGAGGCATGCTTTATCTTCCGGTAATCTTCGTTTTTGTGGACGATAACGCCTGACATCATCGCACCAGGGCTGTAAATGACCATCTCGAAACTAAAGAGATCGATCGTTTGGACTGGCCTGCATTATCTCCAGACATGAACCCCATAGAACATGCTTGGCAGGGCAGTTTCAGATTGAAATCTAACCAGGAATATACAAGAACTTGTACATGATGCTCAGGAAGAATGGCGGAATATATGTAGTAGTGATGGGAAAAATACTCGGTCACACGAGTAGTCCTCAGTATGTCTAAAGATTGTTGTCGATCCTCGAGGATCACTCGCTACTGAACTAAAGTATTTGGCGTATCGTGCTCACGAGAAAACAAAGCGATTTACGTTTTATGCTGAAATTGTTCGTATAGATAGAAAAGAACTATTCAAACAACACTTGCTCACATAACTATAAACGTTTTTCCGAGTAGTAACCGCCAGTATGCGATTCCATTTTTCCTAACCTAACCTAACCTAAAACATTACTAAGTAATCTGTTAATATAAAATTGTAAAAAAAATAAGAATAAGTACTTTAAATATTTATTTATAACATATACATATATGTAGTTTATTTATTGATAAGAAAGCATGTACTTATTTACTTGAGCAGAATTCAGAAAAATAATTTTGTCAACATTTTTGTGGCTAAGCCTGTTTGCAAGCATATGACCCTGGACAGCTTTAAAAAAATATATGAAAAAAAAAATGTTTAAAATAATTATTTATTTTTATTACACTCATATCATTATTCGGTTATCGATCTAGCCAGATATTATACCGGCCTTTGAATAGTTGGAGTTCTAGAATACGTAAGAAAATTTTATGAACGAATATTCCTCGAATGATCATCCGATTATTGAAATCCTCGAGGATTGAAATCATCCGATTATTCCTATAATTTGAGTATACCTCACAAGTTTTTTTTCAATTAAAATGATCAATTAATTAGTCTCTAGTGTTATCTTGATGAAAAGAAGTTTGTTTTCGAAGATTCAGGCTGATGCAAAACTTTTGAATATACGCCTATTATTTATTTCAACTTATGTTCAACATTTAGCAATTAAAGTTAATAACAGCACTACACTACTTACAAGGATGCCAGGAATTAAAATTACCTACAGCACAAAAAACGTTCATGGTAAATTAAAGTATGTTCTAGGATGTATTTCAGGAAAATAGTTTAACTTCTATAGGGTGACTCGAAAAGCATTAGTGGATCGGTATGATTTTTTTTTAAATGAATCACTCTGTATATTATTGTATTTTTGGCTTCCTTTCAGATCAGTTTACATAATCCTAAGATACTAGTAAATGTATTTCGTTGGTTTCAGAGATATTAATAAATAAATAAAAAATATATCTTTCTTAAAAAAATTTTAAGAATACAAAAACTGCTCCGAAATCAAAACTATATTAGCTTACTTTAGACTTTAGATGGTCTATACTTACTTTGCTATTAATATGGTAATTGTAAATCATACAGGATGTTCAAAAATCTACGCCAAACTTTCTAAAATATAAAATAATTTTTCTTCGTTTTTTTTTAATGGAACATCCTGTATATTATTTTTTCAATAGATGGAGAATTAAAAAATGAATATTTTTTGTATTTAGAGTATTTCAAAATTTTTAACGATTTTGAAGATTTTTGCGGTTTTATGTTTCACATGGCATTTTCTATAGTAAATTTTTATCAAAGCGACCTAATGATTTTTCTCTCGTATTTTACCGTCGAAAGAGCCATATGAAATAATACTGCATGTATCCATTACAAATTTTGAAATACTTTTAATACAAAAAATGTTCATTTTTTAATTCTCCATCTAATAAAAAATAATAAACGGGGTGTTTCGTTTAAAAAAAAACAAAAAAAATTATTTCATATTTTAGAAAGTTTGACGTAGAATTTTGAACACTCTATATATGATTGATGAAGATTACAATATTTATAGCAAAGTTAACTATAGACTATCTGAATTAAATACCTAATATAGTTTTGATTTCAGGACAGTTCTTGTATGTGTAATAATTTTTTTAAACAAAGTTGAAAAAAATATATATTTTTTATTTATTAATATCTCTGAAATTACCGAAATATATTTACTCATATCTAGGATTATGTAAAGTGATCTGAGAGGAAGCCAAAAAGGCAATAATATACAGGGTATTCCATTTAAAAAAAATATCCTGATTCAGTCAAACTTTTTTGAACCATCCTATAGAAGTTAAAATATTTTCCTGAAATACATCCTCGTACATATTTAGATTTACACTTAAACTTAAGTTTTTAATTCTAGGACCTCAGATGCCCGACGCACTATTGCCGGACACTGTATATCAAAAAGAAAAAAAAAATATTAAAATCATTAGTTTTTAATTATTGAAATTGAAACATCAAACAAAACTAAAAACAATATCTATTGTTTTCCTGGAAAATAAAAGGTTATCCGGTGTTCCTTCTTTTCATCAACACTTTATTTACATTTGGAAATATATTGGTAAATGTGGTTTGCGGGCAGAACTTTGATAAATCTTGAATAAATATTTTCACGTCTCGTCTTATTTTCGTCTGTTATTTTTTCATTTTATTACGGAACGGTTTCAATTTGAAAAATTAGGAGACTTAAAAGTACTAATGAAAATATTTTTATAATCTATCCATCATCAGATTAGAGATTTTTTGTATTATTTCCTAAATGGTTTTAGTTAACTCTTTCTTATCTTATACGTGACTTATTTAATCTAATGGTGAAACTAAACCGCAATATAATATATTATGTGCCTATATAAAGACTGATAGATCCTCCACTTCTGGCAGTTCTGGAGTGAAGTTTTCTTAATCATGTTGTGTTTTCGGTTTCAGATGTGCCCAATATCAGGATTTTTTCAATCCCTTATAGTAATAGTTACTCTTCTCTTGGTATGCCATGCCGTTCTAGTGAAAAGTATGATGAACATATCTTTTAAACCCAGTGATGTTACTGTCTATATGTATGATACTATCACAGTTGAATATAACGCAACATCAGAAGTAGGTGAGTATTTCTAGTTATGTCTTACATACATACAGTTAGTATTACAAGTACTTCTGTATTATCTGCTACGAATTAGATAAAACAAATATAAATATGTATGTTGATATTTCAACATTTTTTATTTTACTTGGCTCTTTGTACTATTAATATTCTAAATTTAAAGCCAAATTAAATAAAGTTACACAAATCTTTTTTACAATTTATGGCACCAGAGGTTTTTTGTTAAATTTACATTAATCGTACATTAAATTTACAAACATTTTACAAAGAGGTTTCAATTACGTACATACTCTTGACTTTTACGGTTTTCAAAAATGGCTTATAATCAGAAACTTATGAAAAATGTGGTATGTTTGAATTAATCAGTTTGTGAATTTTATTTGGAATTATTTAAATGCCCTATTAAATAAAATAAGCCCAAAAAATGTTAATAAGAAAGGATGAGAAATCAAAGTGGAAGACGTTGTGGGAAAAAAATTAAGTTTTGACTATTTTTTTATTGGGTCGAGCCATTGACATTTTTAGTTTCAGTTATACAATGAAAACTCTGTGGCTTTGTTTGTGGAATATTTCTACAATGAAAGTGTGAATTAGTTAATTTTATTGGAGCAGTATACCGGTTGCGTCTCCAAAATTGGCTCACCAATATAACTTTTATTTTTTCAGATAAAAAATAATGTTAATGTTACATTAACATTATCACATGTTAGTGATCAGTTACATTAACACATGATCACAGAACTTACTTAGACGAAGATACTTATCGAAAAATTAAAAATATTAAATAAAATAAAAATGTGTTTAAGAATTATGGAAGATGGACTGTGTTAAGAAATTTATAATAAGCCTATGGTATAAGCCTTTATTAATTGGAACAACAACGAAGGGGTTTTCTTTTCTTTTTGAGAAATTTTATTGTTTTGCAATTACAATGAGTACAATTGTTTAATGAATTTTAACAATCCAACTGTTTTACTTTTTCCGAGTGGTATGGCTTCCTGGTGTGACCTTTGTCTTTCTGGGCCTGAAGATGGGAATTAAATGAATCCCGAAACATGTCGCCCCATTTTTGAATCAAATTAAATTTTGAAATAAACATCCTAAAAAGATTGTGGGTCCCCTACGTCCCCTCGTCAGAGGTTTTACATTGATATGTACTCACACTGGGTTGGAGAACGTTTAGTTAAAATATATTATATTTATTTACACTTCCTCGGGAAGCATTTTAGGGCATATGTTTATAGGAACTTTTTGTTTTATTTTCATCCGTAGAATCACCCACCAAATTTGACACCCTGTATATTTATGAATGCAACATAAAATAAATGATAAAACTGCATACTCATAATGAATTGATTGACATTTTGATAACTATTTTATTTCATTTTTTAACATACCACATTATGCATAAAGCTGTAATTATGGTCATGTGAGATTTGAGTTTGGTTTAAATAATCATATTTAAAATAAACTACTCGAAAAAAGTTAAGAATATTGTGTTTTCGCTAGCAAGAAAATTTTTCAGAAAAAATGTGTTATAGTTATTAATACCTATGCCGTTTGTGTTTAAAAAAAATACTGTTTGTAAACATAAAAAATTGTACCCAAACAAATAAAAAGCATTATCATAAAAAATGCACATTTAATTTTTGTTTAGAATAGAACTTGTTTGAGTGTTGCTAAGCGGCAGTTTGCGATATTGTGGTTATTCTGTAATCGATAATATGAACAGACGTCATTTAATAATAGAGGAAGCAAATCAAGCCATTGGATTGGTGCTTGGCGGTGCACCACAGATCGATCTGGCTGATCGATTTAGTCACCTAAAGTGTAATTTCTAGGCTTAAAAACCGATTTAATGAGACCAGGCCCTGCGCACTCTCCGCGAAACGTCAAACCACGAAATTAGTACGACTTCAAGACACCGTGCGCTAGTGTCGCCTGGCGGGAGAAAGCGACAGTCAATAAGAATTTCTCTGTTTTATGATTGGTACTGCTCAAAAGAGGGGCGACCGGCTGCATCAGGGCCTGGGCACTCTCTAGTTTTTCAACTACTCACGAGCGGCGCTATTAAACAATATTTTAGGTTGGTATTTAAATATTGATGTTGGCAACGGATGTCAAGTCAAAAGTGTCATTTGTCGTCGTTCTGTTTTGTCAGCTGTTTTCGAATATTGGCGCCTATTTTGCAAATTCGTTCTTCTTTGTGTTTAATATTGCTTAAATTTGTTTTTCTTTAGTGTATATATGTTCTTGTTGTAGTGTTAGTGTATAGTGCAGTTCTAGCATTAATGTAAAAAACTGATATTTCCACACTATAGACGTTATTTACTAGTTATTAGTGCACACATTGTTTGGTTAAAATCGAGGTTAAAATAGTGATTTATTTTGGTGTGCCCAATTGTTCATGAAGGAGTAATAAGGGATGTAAGGCTCATAAACAAATAAATATTATATCACTGTTAATTTATTTCCTTTATGTTCCCAGTCGCCATTAATTTTTGAAAATTTGTTATAAGACTGGAGATTGTCGGTGTATTTAAAATTAAATAATTTTAAATAAATAATTTAATTATAGCTAGCTTACACTGACTAGTTCTTCAGTTTTAGGACAATTTTTCAGAAAAATGTAAAATTGTTTATTAAATAATTTGGGAAGCCCGTGCTAGCGACATTAGCGCTTCGGCGAGAAGTTGAAGAAACATCTTGACCATCAATTTGAGTGTCCAATCTATTTACTTTTTTCATCTATGGGCTGCATTTTAAAATTCTTCAGTCTATCCCCGCCGTCCTTGGCTTGTTCGTGGCTCGATCTAAATTTTTGTAATTGTTACGAAGTGTTATTGTGTTGACTTTTTAAAAATGGTGTTATATTGCTGTGTGTTGGGCTGTAAATCCTCTAGTAGATTGTCGATTTTACATAGTATGCCAATGGATAAAGAGGTAAGTGCATGTACTTATGTTTTTGACCCATTAAAAAATTCGTATATGTAGTATTTTTTAGGGTTATGCAAGTCCAGGAGATCCTCTAAAAAAACTTGCATTTGAAATATTTTAAAAAAAATAAAGTAAAACATAAAAGCCTTAAATAAAATTAAACAAGGCCCTTTATAAAGTTTAATGTTTTTATTGCTTTTGTTGATAAATATTGTTTATATTATAATGTAAAATGTCTGTATAATGTTTATATAACGTAAGGTAGTAATCTTACGTAAGGTAGTAATCTATATAACGAATTATTTTTTATTCAAATGTTGAATGGATAATATTATAGTATTATTTGATGATTTTTAATAAAATTTTTGTGTTTCATATTGGTTTTTGTATTATTGTTCCGTATCAGTCTTATTAGAAATATTATATACATATTGCTTTTTTCTAAACGTGAAAGAACTAATACTGTTTTTTTTAGTTTTCTGTTAAATAAAAGTTATATTTTACAGAATACTAAAAAAAAACAGTATTAATTCTTTCACGTTTGGTAAAAAAACAATAATGCAATTCAACTTCAAATTTTAAATTCCCAGTACCTGGCGGGAAAAATGAAGATTTAGTACGTCTTCAAGTCACCGAGCGCTGTAAAACGCGTTCTCGATAAATGACGAGAGTTGCCAATCTAAATGTTTTTGGTCCGTGAATGAGACTGAATCTGTCATGGGGAGGCATAGGGAGGGTCGACCAATGTCGACAAATGCTAGGGAGGACCGAAGCTTGCTGCGAGAAGCTAGGATGGATCCTACAAGAAACTACACGTTGCTCACCCTGGACCTTTTGGCTGCCAGCAGAGTACGTATTATCCTTGTTTGGGTATTATCCCTCGGACGGTCTTAAATTGATTAAAAAAGCAGGTTTACATTGCTATATGCCTATAAGACACCCCCGTTGACCGCGATAGTCAGGTTGAGGTAATAAAGTTCAACGTTTGCTCTGGTGTAATGAAAGAGCTAGCTGGAATGCTGAGTGGTATACTGCGATGTTCAGCGATGAAATCCGCTTTTGTCTTCGTACTGACAGACGTACAGTTCGTGTGTGGAGACTAAGAAATACAAGACTTAACGACCGATATGTTCAAGAAGGGCATCCCTTTGGAGTTAGAGGTGTAATGTGTAATGGTCTGGGGTGGAATTTTCTGTACAATGACTGGCAGCCAAAAGGTCGTGGCTGAGCAACGTGTAGTTCCTTGCAGGATCCATCCTAGCTCCTCTCATTAAGCTTCGGTCCTCCCTAGCGTTTGTTGACCTTGGTCTACCCTCCCTATGCCTCTCCATGACAGATCCAGTCTCATTAAATCAGTTTTTAAGTCTAGAAATTACACTTTAGGTGACTTTAAATCGATCAGCCACATCGATCTGTGGTGCACCGCCAAGAACCAACCCAATGCAATGGCTTGATTTGCTTCCTCTATTGTTAAATGACGTCTGTTCATATTATCAATGACAGAATAACCACAATATCGCAAACTGCCGCTTAGCAACACTCAAACAAGTTCTATTCTAAACAAAAATTAAATGTACATTTTTGATGATAATGCTTTTTATTTGTTTGGGTACAATTTTTTATGTTTACAAACAGTATTTTTTTTTAACACAAACGACATAGGTATTAATAACTATAACACATTTTTTCTGAAAATTTTTCTTTCTAGCGAAAACAAAATATCCTTAACTTTTTTCGAGTAGTTTACATCTCTAATTATAAATTAATGGTTATGTATTATAATAATTTTTCAGTAGCCTTGCTAACTTGCTATATGTATTATTTTTTTGTAGGTGATACAACAGAATGTCTCCTTTATAGCGAAGATACTCACATAGCATATATGGAAAAAGAATATTGGATAAGAAATTTGGAAAGTGGATCCTTCAATATAACGGGAAATTTCTTAGGTAAAGATAAAAATATATGCTTCATTCTAGTCGCTTTATTGATGAGTAAATGCAAGACCCCCTTGACTTAGTCTTGAATAACCCAGTCTTGGTCTGGCACTTTCTACATATACATCATACCAAATAAACTTTTAGTCACGTGATTAAGCTTGATCTGCACAGCGTTGCCAACTTTTACATATTTTTTTTAATCAAAATATTAAACAAAAATAAATCAATTATAAATATATAAACAGTTATTACTTACATTAAAAAAACTCACCTCCTTAAGAGCACTTAAAGGACATAAAGGGCCATTACTACCGCTGTCCCGTTAAAAATATTCTAATAAGGTTGCGATGCATTTTTGCGTTTTTTGCGGCTATTAGGCTATCTTGTACAATTCGCATTAAAAGAGGTTCTCAAATGAACAACGGTCGACGGCACAGTCTGCTAGTAAAAATTTTTAAGTTTAAATTATCACAACACAATTCATTTAAACCAAAAACTCGTAAAACAACTAAGGTGTCAAAACGAATGACAATGTGACGAAATAAATAAATGTGGCAACACTTCAGCTGAGCTACCACCCGAATCCCCAGCGGGTGAATTGTTGAATTTAGGTAAATTATGTGTATTACGATTATGTTCGACCTGAAATACCGTATGATCGAAAAAACGGCATCCAGTTGTCTTGGAAATGAACATCAATGGCATTCCCCATATAATTTTACATATAAAATGACAGCGACCTTTTTTTACAGCCATCGCTATATTTTATTTCATAGCCATCGCTGACGCTGCTTTTTTTCAATCATATTGTACCTTCCATTACGTTGTTACGCTGGTGTCAGTCAAACATATTTTGGCTATGATTTTAATTTAGTTTCCTAGTTTCCATACACTATTCCGTGGGTGTATTTTTAAAGCGTTTTTCTTTTTGCTCGTGCTTTTTTGCCTTCCCGAAATTTAGCTCTAACAATCTGGCAACCCTACTTAGAATGTTTCTTGTCTTAATACAGCATTCGGAAACGGTACTAAGTAACTGTAACTGTTCTATTTTCAAAATATAGTAAACTGTAGGCTAGGAACTACATACATACAGTGGCGGATACAGAGGGGGTCCATGGGGCTCCATCCCTAATATCAATAAATTTGGTTAAATATTAGGCTTTGGGCATATTCTACATTACTTTTTATTTGCCATCCCCCCCCCCCTAAAATAAATTCCTGTATCCGCCCGTGCATACATATATGAAAAATAAAAATCAACTATACCTTTTTTTATTTTTTATTATGTATTGTTTAATCGACTTTAAAGGAATATCGAATTTTACTCAAAACCAGGCACAGAAACAGTTGATTACCTTTTAAGATTGTAACTTTCCATCTACTTTAAAAAAATAAGGTCAGTCCAACGAGAGAATACAAGACAGTAACAGTAGTCATTTTAATTCGCAGGTAAATTTCATTTTCTATCATTTTTTGGATGTAATCTGCCGAAACCTGCCCCGACTCATTGGCCAGACTTTACCTAATTAAGTGTACTCTTTCAGGTCAGACAGTGATATCTTGTAAAGATCCAACGACAAATATCAAAGTAACAAATGATAATGTAGCAGTAAAATGTCTCAGGAAACAACGACTGGTCGATCGCATATTTACTGCATCTACAGCTACTTTAGTGGCAATTATTTATATAAACTTTGGTTGTGTGGTACAATGGACTGAAGTGAGGCAGTTAATCAAAACGCCCATTGGACCAGGCATAGGCATTTTTGGTCAATTTGTCACTATGCCATTGGTAAGAAATTCCAACTTGTATAATATGTATAAGGTGCTTAGAAGTATAGTTTTTCTGAAGTCTGGAATAGGAATAGACTGGATCTCTTAATTTCGGCACTGTCTTTGTCGGTATCGGCTGAACAAGACAAGGGACTTAGTCGGCTGGACAAGGGAGTCTCAGTACTTTCAATTGACTTCGGAAATACTATACCAGGTTCGATCGTCAACAAATACGGATTTTTTTATTTAAACATAAGCAATTTGCTAAGGCTAGAACGACATTTGGTATTGAAATGAAGTTTTGCGAGAATATGTGGGTTGATTTAGAGCATTTTTTTAAAATACAGAGAGTTCTACAAGGTGTCCTCAAAAAAAGTTACACATCAAAGTTATGTTTTTTGTAATGACACGCCCTATATATAAGTTGATTTTCGGATTCTAGGAAAAAAATAAAGGTGACATGGTTTCATTACAGAAGTATATCACTAAAATGCAAGCTTTTGACATAATATTTAACATTTTCTAAAAATGAAGGACAATTTTTAAATTTCACTAAAAGCTTCCTAAATTGGAATTTACCCGGTATAGTCTAAATTAAAATAACTATTATACTTTAAATTAAATTAAGTTTAAGTTGAAATGCTGTCAACACGAACAGCAGAGGCTCAGATGGGCACCAAAACTGTAGCTGTTAAAACAACGCAAGGAACTCCACAAGGTGGAGTAACCTCCCCTTTGCTGTGGAGCTTGGTTGTGGATGACATAGTCATGATCGCTCGGGGGAAACATGAAGGCGCCCTGTGTGATATTATCCAAAGAGGATTCCGTATCACTGAGAGATGGTGCAGAGACTGTCGGGCTGAGTATCAACTCAGACAAAACCGCGATAGTGCCATTCACCAGAAAGCGAAGTCTGAAAAACTTGAAAAGAATCCAAGTAGATGGAAAGGAAATACTGCCATCACAGGAAGTTAAATATCTGGGAATAACTCTGGACAGTAAACTCCTGTGGAACAGGCATATTAAGAACACTACCAGCAAAGTCACAAAGGCTCTCATGATATGCAGAAGACTGGCCGGAAATAGATGGGGCTGCTCCCCTAACATTTTGCGCTGGATGTATACCATGATAGTAAGACCCATGATTACTTATGGAGCAGTTGCCTGGTACACAAAACTAGAGCAACGGACGGCAAGGCTAAACCTGTGCAAAGTACAGAGACTAGCATGCGTTTGCATCACAGGAGCCATGAGAACCTGTCCAACAGCAGCAATGGAGGTCATTCTAGATCTAACACCACTGCACATTGTCATTGGTAGATATGCCAATGCGACAATGATTAGAATGGTCACTAACGGAATTAATACTGGGAGAATTGTCAGATCCAGGGCTTGGAACACCCTCAAAAAGGAAATACCACTCCTGCAACTCCCAGTGGACGATATGCCAAGAACGTACAACTTTGAGAAACATCTCAATGTAGTATTGAGCAATAAAAAGGATCGGAAGAGCGAAACGTCTGCCCAGCAGTTAAAAGACAACTTGGTATACTGATGCTTTCAAAACCAATACGGGAACAGGGATCGGAGTATTTTGGTCGAGAACTAAATACTCCGAACCAATTGGCACTTACCCTAGCATCCTACAGGCAGAAATCTACGCTATCGAAAGATGCGTACAACTTATCATAGATAGGAACTATCGGAAACAAGAAATAGCCATCTTATCTGATAGTCAAGCAGCGTTAAAAGCGATCAACTCAGTATCAATCAATTTGAAATTGGTCAAAGAATGCATAGAGAAGCTGAATAAATTAGGCACAGAAAACAAAGTCCTCCTACTCTGGGTGCCTGCTCACCAAGGGATAGAAGGCAATGAAAAAGCAAATGATCTAGCTAGAAAAGGAGCGAACACTCCACTAACTGGACCAGAACCGTTCTGCTTTCCAAGTGGTAACCAACTCAAGGCGGAACTCAAGAACTTGGAAGATTCCGTCCGCAATCTGGAATGGGAATCTTGCAACGGTCTAAGACACTCCAAGAAGTTTCTGAGGGCTTATGATCAAGAAAAATCACAGATCTTCCTGGGTTTAAGTAAGAACAATCTTCGGATTGTCACGGGGTTTTTAACAGGACACTGTCTCCTCAATGAACACCTCAGTAGATTGAAACTAAGAAGAAACGGCGAATGCAGAATCTGTGAGGAAAATGGGGAAACACCAGTACACCTCATCACTGAGTGCGCTGAGACGACAACCATTCGTGCCATGAACTTTGGTACGACTGATATTGGAGATGGAGAACTACCCTCTATAAAACCGTCCCAGATACTGGCTTTTGTCAAAGCCCTGGGACTGTATGATGAGTTATAACTCAAGAAAGGGGGACACAATAGATCTGTAAGGTCGCAGTGATTAACCCCCCTCCCACTCATTCCAAATTCTAAAAATTAAATTAAATTAAAAATTGACCCAAAAAGTTACACAGGGTGAGACAAACTTAATATTGAACATTGGTCACCTTTAAAAGCAAGTTACTCTTTTATTTTAAATGAAACATCCAGAATATTGTTCCGGTATTCAATGAAGGATTCATGTATCTTCAAAATACTATTAAGTTGCCTACCCGTCAGATTTTCCGAGATATTTTCATTTTTATGATTTTGCGTCAGTAGATCTTTATTATTTGATAAAATCTAGGTGGCTGTGATATGTCTGGCGTCACTTCAACATAGCTGTCAAATTAATGCAACTTCAACAACTGGTTATCATTTTGTGTCAGTTAAAACAAAAAAAAATCTCAGAAATTTGCTGAAACTGGAACCTTGGAGAATTGATATGATTTTATTAGTTGGTGACTGCAGTATGCATTCACTTAAATGTTCCTGATTTATCTAGTCTAGACTTTTTTTATGGGGATACGTTAAAAGACAGTGTTCACAAAACTCGACCAACTATTGTGGAGAACATGAGAAAAATGATTGCGGCTGCTTTTCGAAGTAAAACTCATGTCTTTTAACATAATTTTTTGAAAAAAGAATCAATTTATGCAGTGGACAGCAAAGGAGGCATTTTCAGCGTTTGATTTAATCTAGCTAATTTTTGTCACATTATTATTCACTTATAGGCATCTAGTTTTAATTCTGTAATAATTAAAATATGTTTTAAATGTGTATCTTTTTAATGCTGTTGATTATTTTACTCTACATCCTTTAATTCTCGTTAAATTAACAAAAGGTATATCACAGCCACCTAGATTTTATCAAATAATAAAGATCTACTGACCCAAAATCATCAAATTAGAATATCTAGGAAAATCTTTGTCTGAGGGATAGGCAACCTGAATAGTATTTTGAAAATATATGAATTCTCCATTGAATACCGGAATAATATACTGGGTAGTCTATTTAGAATACTTAGTTAACTTGCTTTTAAAAGTGACCAATGTTCAATACTAAATTTGTTTCACCCTATATAACTTCGGGTCAGATTTTAATTGGATTTAACTTACAATGGTTATTATAATTAAAAAATCAGGCTATATAGGGTAAATTACAATTTAGGTACCTGTTATTGAAATTTAAAATTTATTCTTCATTTTCACAAAATGTGAAATATGTCAAAATCATTACATTTTAGGCATATGCTTCTTTAATGAAACTCACCTTTATTTATTTTTCCTAGAATATTTCCAAAATCATTTCGTATAGCCTGATATACGTTATGATATTTTTGAAATATTTAACCCTGATCAAAACCCCTAAATTTTTTTTTCGTTATGGACCTATATTTTGAAAATAGAAATTTTATAGAAAAAAAATCACGGAGTCACAAAATTGAAGATTATTTAGAATTCTATTTAACAAAGGTATCACTCTAGTCTAAAAATCATCCTGTATTGTATGAAAATAGTGTTAAAATGTGCTTTGCCTTTGGCCGCATATTTTGTAAAAATGTTGTAGTAAAAATCAGAAAAGTGCGGTATTGAACTTTTTCAGATCAGGGTCACTCTATATGTACAAAAGATTAATTTGTAATTAATAAGGTGTGTTTACACCTCAAAAGAGAAACAAAAATGGCGCCGGGAGGCACGTATAGCCGCCCATACTTGATATTTTTTTATCTCAAAAACTGCGACTTTGACGGATTTTGATGTTATTACAAATTTTGCAAATATTATTCCTAATCTTAAATTGAAAACCGCGTTTCGCTAGCTACTGTAAGTTTGGAGTTACGATTTTTTAAAATTTTTAACCTCCTCCCATACCCCCTTACCAACCCCCCACCCCCGCCAAAAACTAATGGCCAGATTCTCGGGTGCCACAGTATTTTTGTGCCAAATTTGGTTAAAATCGGTTTAGCGGTTTTTGAGTTATCGTATTACAGACAGACAGACACCATGAAAATATTTTGTATTTAGGTTATTTATGACCCAAATAACTCATTTTGAGTGAAGTTAAAAAAACGTTTTTTTGCCGATCTTAATAGCCTACCAAACCTGTTGGTATGGTCTAGCTAAAAATCTAGTCTTCATTGTCCAGTTTGACATATTAACTACATTCGGGACTGAATTTTAACAATTTGTTATTTTTTAGATTACTTATGGTCTTGGTTTACTTTTGTTCCCAGATAATCCGGAGATGCGTTTAGGAATGTTTTTTACAGGAGTGTCTCCTGCAGGTGGGGCATCAAATATATGGACCGCCATACTAGAAGGAAATATTGAACTTTCAATTCTAATGACGACAATAAGTACTATTGCTGCCTTTGGCTTTATGCCTATGTGGCTCTTTACATTAGGAAAAACTATTTTTAGGGATGCGGATTTAGAGGTAGAGTACAAGTTCGATCACAAAGTTTTATGATCAAGTGTATTTTGGACTCTGATAGAAAAACAATTCTTATTGGAAATTAATCTGGAATTTTTCTACTCTCAGAGTCAAAGCCCGCTTGATTTTAACTTTTTAATAGTGCAGTACTGTTGAAACAATTTTGAAAAAAGTATTCCATTTCTAGATGCCATATGCTCACATTACAAGTTTTGTATTTGCTCTATTAGTACCCTTGGGTATTGGATATTTAATAAACAGGTACTTAAAAAAGACTGGAGCCTTCATGGGTAGAATTCTAAAGGGATTTTCATCGCTTTTGATTCTTTTCATTATTATTTTCGCCATTGTCACCAACTTATATCTATTTGAACTGTTCTCATGGAGGGTAAGCAAACATTTTTCATTTGAAATTGTAGTGTTATTTTATTACAAAAGAAAAAATATCTAACTATACAGAGAGATCCGAACTATATTCCGGAAACTTCGGCAGCATATTCTGCAGATAAAAATAAGTAAAAAAGTTCCCATAAATGTATGTCCTAAAATGCTTAGTTTCGGAGATACAGGGTGTAGTTTCATTTTTATTTCGATTTTTTCCAAATAATTTCAGAAGTAATATCAATATTTGGGTAAAAATTGGTGTCTGGGAGTTTTTTGACATGAGAAATTTGATTTTGGTGCCAATATGACTCGTATTTGTAGGGGCGCTACCTACATGTATTTTAACTGTGAAGAGTAATAACTTTTCGTACTACGACTGAGTGAAAAAATATACATTTCCGTGATTTTTTACTTAAAAAATGTCTCTTGGTAAAAATCGCTACAAACATCAGTTCTCAAGATATATAGAATAGAAATAGTCAATACATGTCAATATTGACAAAAAATAAACATGTTGAGTAGTTATTTGACTGAAATGATAAATTTGGTAACTTTTTATTTTTTTAAATTAATCATAAATTTTTCTTCGAAAAAATTTAATAATTATTAATTTAAAAATTAATATCTGTTAAAACTTTTGGCACAAAAACTATTTAGTCAACATATTCAATTTATGTCAATGACAGGTATGGACGAAAAGTTATTACCCTTCAAACCAGTTAAAATATATGTAGATGGCGCCCCTACAAGTAGGAGTCATCTTGACATCAAAATCAAATATCTCTAGTCAACAAACTCCCAGACACCAATTTTACACCAACGAAACTAAGCGTTTTAGGACATTTATACAAACTTTTTTACTTATTTTTATTTGCAGAATATGCTGCCGAAGTTGCCGGAATATAGTTCGAACCACCCTGTATATCACAAACTACTTTCAGATCGTCGTCGCTGGAATGGGCGTGCCTTGGTTAGGTTATTTTTTAGGATACATATTAGCTAAAATTTTTAAGCAACCTCAGGAAAATGCTTTGGCTATAGCTATAGAGACTGGTATTCAAAATACTGGCATAGCTATTTATTTATTAAGATTTACCCTTGAACCGCTTCATGCAGATCTAACAACTGTGATTCCAGTAGCAGTGGCAATAATGACACCGTTTCCATTAACTGCTATTTACATATACCAAAAAATAAGACAGAGGTTAGTATTTATTTTTATAGTTATAGGCTTGATTGAAAGCAGACTGAAAGATACACAACCTAATGGGCGGATTCGTGACAAGGCTGATTTAATTCCCCCTTACGTATCAAGTGCTGTACGGTGGAGACACCAATCCTTCTGCGGCCAACTCATAAAACACGATTTTTCTCTAATTCGACCAGCAAATGCATATCGAAGACGGTGTGGAACTGAAAGCGACAGTGTTGCCATATTAAAATGTGTAATATCGTTAATAGTTTGACGAAAATATCTTTGGGTGAAAAATCCGCGTTTATGTATTGAAAATTTATTTGTGTTAAACATAGAATAAACACCACAAATAAAAATTCTTTTATAGGTACTGAATATGTTGTATAAACGAAAAAAGTCGTTTAGTTGGCTTGGAAATGACGATTATTGACATTTACCATAATATTTTACATATATGTATGAGATAACTCCAAGCCAACTCTGACGCCGTTCTTTGTTTAATCATGTAATATTATATTAAATTGCTTAATGCTAGAAAATCCGTATTATTAAAGTACTGTACCCAAAATTCGTAAATCTACGGATTTATCAGTAGTGCTGGCAACACCGTCTCCGGCAACCACTCACTCTGTCGGCTGAAAGCAGAACTACGGTATAGTATTCTTTATCTGCTGCGCTATAAACGACCAGCGTGCAGTGGCGCAGAGCTAAACTAAATCTTAGACAGGCTTATGGTAACGACAGCTACATCTCGGATAGGTTTTGTGTCACGAAATAACCGATGAGTTTGCGCATCTTATTTCTTCAATCAACGAGAATATGTGATTTCGACACACATAGAAAAAAGGACTTACTTGAAGACTTACTCAAGGGACATTTGTCTATCATTCAGAAGTATACCGGGTGTTGCATCGGCGAGCGTGACATAGGAAATCCCATGTAAATTTTAATGGGGTCAATTATTGGCTTCCCTAATTATTTAAGAGAATAATTCCATTTAGGTTTATTGAAGAGCACTAAAACCCACATTCAAAAGAATAACTTTAGATTCTTTTGATTAGCCCGTTTACGAGTTATCGCCGATTTCTTTTTAAATATTTCTCCTTTCTTATGGCCCTGTATTTACTTATGAGCACCAGTCAAGGTAAAAGATAACTGTCAAATGAAGTTGTCATTTCAGAAATTTACCTATTTAGTGCTTTATTATTATTATTAAAAACTCATACCTACATCGAAAATATTAGCCATGAATTACACTACCGGAGAAAAAGTATTGATGATTAAATGGTATTATCAAGGAAAAAGTTATCAAAAGGTGTCGGACATGTTTGCTGCTCTGTATCCGAATAGACCGATACCTGGAAAATCTACAATCGCAAGGAATATCCAGAGATTTGAGACCAAAGGTACCCTAATAAATAATTGCAGAGGTGAAGCAAGGCAGGAACAAAGAGAAGATGCAAGAAATTATACCAACTTGGAAGTTTTATTGTGCGTGGAAGAGAACGATGGAAAGATCAGTACAAGGAAACTTGAGGATGAAATAGGAATAGATCACACTACAGCGTTTCGAATTTTGAAACGAGATAAATACTATTCCTTCAAATATAAAAAGCACCAAGAGCTACGAGATGGGGACGAAATACGGCGGCAGGCGTTTTGTTTTGATATGATGGAAAGAGCAAACACGGATAGGGAATTTTTAAAAAACATATGTTCCACTGACGAATGCACGTTTACCTTAAATAATGAACCCAATGTTCAAAATTATCGATATTGGAACAAAGAAAACCAACACAGATTTGTCGAAACAAGGTCGCAATATCCACAGAAAGTAAATGTTTGGGCAGGGATATTCGGACACAATATTATCGGGCCATTATTTCTTACGCGAAATTTAAATGCAGAATATTATTTGGAACTACTCGAAAATCATATTTTACCTGCTTTATATGATGCCGCTAGGGAAAATCAGGACGTTTGGTACCAAATGGATGGCTGCCCGGCACATAGTACCATAACTGTTTGGGAATATTTAGACAATAGTTTTAACGGAAACGTTATTGGCCTAAATCATACAGTAAATTGGCCAGCAAGGTCTCCTGATATTTCACCAAATGATTTCTTTCTCTGGGGCCATTTAAAAAACAAGATATACAAGGATAAAAAATACCCCAATCTAGACGAGTTAAAAAATGCTATTTCTGCCGAATGCAATAGAATTTCAGTTTACCAACTAGCGAATGTAAGAAGAGAATTTTATGATCGCCTGGGTTATTGTCTAGCAGTCGATGGAGGAATATTTGAACATCTTCAATCCTAAAGTTCTAACAATTTAATACTACCTAAATTAATAAGTTTGGTTTGAATATTGTAATAATACTATAATTAATCTTGTAATTGATTACTTTATATTACTTTAATTCATATTAATTTGTATTTATAAATACATCTTTAAGATTTCCGATGTAGGAATGAGTTTTCAATAATAATAAAGCACCACAAAACATCCCCCTTTAGAACTTCATCTGTCGTGTTAAGAAATGAAAGTAAATAATAAAGCGCCTCTCGTGTTTGTTCGCACTCTAAAAATTTCAATTAATGCCTGTATATATTTTTAACATATTTTTTAAATTTACATTTTTTTAATTGTAAAGTAATATATTACATTTAAATGGAATATTACATTTAAATGGAATATATTACATTACAATTATGTCAATTACAGGATTACAGGCTTATTTTCTAACATTCTTTAAATAAAACGAATTGTTAAATTTCAATATATCTATATATTTGTCGTAGGTATGAAAAAAGTTAAATATAAAATGGACAAACGCTTATTTACATTGCAATAAAACTTCCACTTTTAGTTTTGCAATCCAAACGCAATATTTCTATTTCACAAATAAAAATATCCGACAACACTAAAATCACTGAAACTTCCGCGGCTGACAACGAAAACTGAAAAATATAACGGCACTTTTTGTTTTGGACCTGCATATCAACATTACGCTGTACCATTATGAAAATATCTAATTATAACTTGTAAATTTTAATATTTTAACATGATTTTAACACTAACTTTTTGTTATCAAGATGACATTTTAGACGGCAACTGACATATATGTCATAATATTTGAATTTTAAATACGTATGTAATATAAGTAATTTAAATTAATATAATGCAACTTTATACTAAGAAAACATTTATACACTCACAAAATACAACAAAGTCTAATAATATAGTTTGAAAACAATGAATATTGAAATAAAATTGAAAAAGTTAAGCGCGACCCCTTGTGTCAAAATTAGATGATTAAATTTTCGCAATTTTTACACCATTTGATGACCGGTGGCGCCTCTAGTGTTTGTTCGGATGGTTGGTCTTTTACTCCCACTTACGGCCATTAAAGAAAAAGTTCTAAAGGGGGATGTTTTGTGTAAAGCACTAAATAGGTAAATTTCTGAAATGACAAATTCATTTGACATTTATCTTTTACCTTGACTGGTGGTCATAAGTAAATACAGGGCCATAAGAAAGGAGAAATAATTAAAAAGAAATCGGCGATAACTCGTAAACGAGCTAATCAAAAATATCTAAAGTTATTATTTTGAATGTGTGTTTTAGTGCTCTTCAATAAACCTAAATAGAATTATTCTCTAAAATAATTAGGGAAGCCAATAATTAACCCCATTAAAATTTACATGGGATTTCCTATGTCCCGTCCGACGATGCACCCGGTATTGTTTTCTTTATAATTTTTGGATGTCCTGTATCAAAGCTTTGTAATATTAAGATAGGCCACTAGGCGGCTCAGACAGGATCGCAATAATCCGACACCATAAATTGACTGAGGCAGCGTCCACCAGAAGCGGAGCCAGACGGAGCACGTTTTTATAGAATCTCAAATAGGTACGATTCACCTAGAAAAAACTGGTATAATATGTGCCTAAAATTATAAAATTAAGGACAATAAAAATAAATAAAGACCTAACGTGATTTTAAATAAAAACGGAACTCGCTTAGTTACTTCAGAACGTACTTAAAATTTTGTAAACGATATGTACTGATATAACACGCATATTTGACAAATAATGATGACGTAACGTTCAACGATGACTGAACAGATTTTACATGTGTAACAATTTCAGTCATTTTTCCGGTTCTAAAAAGTATTTTTATTGCAGGTGGTGGCCATATAAAAAATCTGATGAAGTCGATTTATGTAAAAGAGAAAGCACCAGTAGCAAGAACTATCGGCATAGTCACGCCAGACAAGACAGTGCAGTAGCCTGTCTTAGTTAAACAGTTTTATATAGATACTACATATGTAAATATAAGGTTAAATGTTCTGTTTTATATATGAATAATTATTTGATTAGAAGTGAGCAGATACTCTGAGTTGTTTATTGTTGGTAATTATTGAAAATGTTATATTGATCTGTATTTTTGCTACTATAGCGACAGTTCCTGAACTAAGAATTTTGTTTTGTTTATGTTAATTTATTTTATTTTGGTTAAAAAAAGATAAGTATAAAACAAAATGGTATTATATTTTTTACTGTATACCCACAGTCCATATTATATTGTAATATATATGGAGAGAAAATAATATATGTATTTATACAAGGAAATAAAAGGTATTTTAAAATTGATTTGATTTTATTTCACAGCAACTCATGATACAGTAAATGCATATCATATTTCGTTGATTATATTTTTATAATGTCGGGGGCGCATATGCGGCAGTTGACGATTTCCCAACGAGGATTTGTACACATCAAAGACAAGCGCTCGTCTTGTTGTTCGTAAAGTCATCCACATATTCGGCACTCATAGTTGGCTTATTGACAGCATATTGTTGATTTTTTATTGTATATATTATATACTTATTGCTTCATCTCGTAAGTAAATGACTGATATTTATATTGTTGCATTTTTTGCGTAGATTGACTGTCACAGAATCATTGCTATCCATTTCCTGTGTTGGAGATTCTGTTATGGGGTTTCTCGTTTATGAGTAGAGATACAAAGTTGCGGTTTTCACATCACTGTACTGCTTTTTTATGAAATTAAAATTGCTACACGCTTTGGATTCTGATATACAGGGCGAATTTGAAAATATTGCATATTTTGACCCCCTTCATACCTATCTGGATTATCTTTAAAATGATCGAAAAGTTAAAAACTGAGTCGCATAGAGTATTTTACTTATAGGCTGGTGGAGCATCGTCGTTGGAAATATACGAAATACCATGCAAACTTTGAATTGTTCAAATATATTGGCTCCTCTATTGATTTTACAGCGAAGAAGCCTCTTTAAAAGTTTATGCATGGTAAATACACATTCCAAATTTGAACAATTTTGGACGAGCCGATTTTGTGTAATTTAAGAAAGATTGCATCTATTTTTATATTAAAAATTAATAAATGCCTATGAGAGCGTTAACCAGTTAAGTTTTAATTTGAAAATAGAAGCAGTTTTTCATGAGTTTTTCTTAAACTACTCAAAATCGGCTTGTTCAAATTTGGCACGTGTGTTTACCAAACGTAGACCTTTAAAAACATATTTACGCCTTTGCTATAAAATAAATAGGAGAACCAATATTTGAACAGATCAAAATTTGATATCAATAAATAATTATCAATAAATAATAATAAAGAATAGTTTCAGGGTATTTTAATTTTATTTCATTTATTTCAACCAGATAATTTTGCTTCCCATCGTGTTCCATCTTAATAAATTGCACTGAAAATAAACTTGTACAGCTTTTAGATATCTCGTTATCAATCAGAGATACTGATATTTTTAATGCACTTGTGCAATAATTCTACACACAGAAACTAGCCTGGAATAGTCAATAATCAAAATAATGCATTTTTATCATGTTTTTGAAAATAAGTATTGAGTATGTTTTTTAGATTTTTTTAGAAAGTTCATGACTTTTCAAGGCAAATAAAATAAAAATATACAGTCATATTTCAGGAATGACAGTTCACAGCAAAAATGTATTTATGCTACTGAATTCTACGTGAAAAACTCTATGGGACTCGGTTTTCACCTTTTCGATAAGTTATAAGATAACCGAAATACGAAGGAGATTGAAAAATGCAACGTTTTGGATTTCGCCCTGTAATTCGGGAACTAAGAAGGTTAGTACTGTGTATGACAACTTTAGTTTCATAAAAAAGTAGCATAGTGATGTGGAACTCGCCTCTCTGTAGCTCCACTCGAACAAGAAACCCTGCAACACACGAAAATGAGACATCATGTACACTAAAACGTTCGATGTTCTCCACTTCTTCGACCGAAACTAGGCAATGCCCACATGTGTGGATGAAAAGGCGAACTATAATTTGCTAGGGTCAATAGTTGACGAGCGCTCAGAGATCGCCAACTGCCACATTATGTGCGACCACGGCATAAAGTTAACAGCTAATATCATTTCTAATTTGAATTAGTAAAAAAATATCACAAACAAAAAAGATAAATATACACAGATATAATATACCTATACACTTACCGGCACGAAAAAAAGGGCTAAAATTTTGATTAATTTTAAAGTTTTATATATTGTGTTCTAGTGGAACGATTTTGATGATTTTTTAAGCAATTTGTAGCTAAATTATTTGACTTTTTAATATCTCTTTCGAAATTAAAAATTAAAGTTGTCATCTGTCAATTATACGGGGGAAACAAAATGTTGATATTTTGGTGAAAGTTTGAAACAACCTGTGAAATATATTAACAAAGCAAGGAATTTAAAAATAATTTTATCGTCTAGGTACATACGTCTTTTTTATCTATCGAAAAATTTTATCTATCTAAAAAAAATATTTAGAAAGAGATATTAAAAAGTGAAATAATTTAGCTACAAATTGCTAACAAAATCATCAAAATCGGTCCACTAGCACTCTGGAACACAATATATAAAACATTAAAATACATCAAAATTTTAAGTTTTAAGGTGCCCATTTTTCGTGCCGCTGAGTGTACATCAGTTTACCAGCGACAGTGGAGAAATGATTCAGTTACAGATTTAAAATAATCTGGAAGACAGAAAACGAGAAAATTTAAGTATAGCGAAATTCATAAAAATATTTTTAATTCCATTAAAGGTATCAAAACAAAATTATTTCAAATAAGAATATTTTAACTGGCAAAAAAAATTTAAGACTGGCACTTAATCCACATATCTCTGTATATTTATTTTGTATATAGAAAATGTATATCTTTACCTATCTTTTTAAAAATGAATATCAAACGCTAGATACCAGTATATAAATATAAGTTAACACTATGTAAAAAATCTAACTACATTTGAATTAAACATTCATTTCTACTTAAAAATTTTTAAAGCTTTTAAAAATGACTCAAAAAATATCCAGCTCAACTATTTGACGTTTTAAAAACAAAAAAAGACAGGTATATAAAATTAAAATATTCAGTTCTCTATCTTTGTCGACAAAAAGTATCTAAAAATGTTTATACTCCTCAAAATATATAAATGTTTAAAATACATACTATTACTAATCAAATTTAAGTTAATCCTAAAATGTAACCAAGCATTACTTGTATTATAAATACAAAACTTTCGCAATTGGTTTAATATATTACTGCTTTTTTTCTGATTACAGATAAAATTAAATTAAGCACTATTTATAGCAATTCCATTCTCTCTGACCTCATTATGATATCTTCCATAAATTGTTTGTAAAGGTACATGTAAAAGTTCTATAATATTTAAGTAACCCGGTTCTAAAAAAATCATCATTTTATTGTTAATTTTCTGAAATCAATATTTTAACTAGTCTTCAGGGACCAATATAATGTCAAAAAAATTGCGCAAGTCAAGCCGTTGGGTACCTGTGCGTACTAACGTAATGCCGGGTCCAGACCAAGGCGACAAAAAGTGAACACGATTTTGAGACAAAAACAAGACAAACTTGCGATAAAAAATATGGAATTCTGACAAGACAAACTTGAGACAAATTGTCCACACCACAAGGACAAAAGTACAACAAAGTCAAAAGTTTAGCTGTTGCGAATGAGTTTTATTAACCATGTGTGATTTCACTGGTCTCCTACTGTTGGCAGCACACGCCATCCACACTACGCCGACAACTTGGACCGACTCAAGACGGGACATTGAAAAGTCTCCGAATTTTGAAACAAAAATGTCGCAGAAATGTATTGGATTTGTCGCAATTTTGTCGTAAAACATGAATGTTTTTGTCTTGTCGTTGTTTTTTTGTCTGCTTGGTGACCCGGCATAACGTTGCGTTATGTATGACAGTGTCACCACAGATTAGGTATCCTATAAGTATACAGAAAAAAATCTTGTCCCTAATTCGTGGTACGAAAATTGTTTTTTATGTCGATGTGCAAACGAGTCAAATTTCCTATGCGCAAAAATAAACTCGCGTAAAATAACAATAAACAGCGTAATAGAGAGATATCGCTAAACCGAATAGCGTGCATGGACGTTAATAAGGCCAGGTGTTATTTCCTTTACGTGAGGTGGTATTAACTCTCTTCATTTATAGTTATCGGATCGGAAAGAATTCTGATCGCGTCGCGTCCGGTATTTAAACTTAACACCTCACAACCTAATTTTAATTTAAAACTTTGAAATTGTTTTGTTTATTTTAAAACTAAAGGGCTAAAGTGCTTATTTCCAGTGCTTTATTGTTCAGCGTCTGCCAGTGGGTTTAGGGCAACAAGCAACAGATTCTCTTAGAAGGGCTAAGTCGTCATCTGCTGTAAACCTAAGACTCTTTATAGGTTCTTTAGTATTGGAAGAGGTGGTATCCATATTTTGGGCCATATTTATTTAATTAAAATTAATTCCAGCTACTTAAATATCAAATTACCTAATAAAACTAAAGCAATAATTCAAAACAATTCAAACATAACCTAAAATAAAAGATCTCGCCGGCCGGCTCCGGTTGTCGTTGTCAAATACCCGCACATGCCCATTTAAGCAAGTTTTAAACGTTATCAGAGGTTATTTAGAAAGAGCGCTTGGTGTAATTGATCCGCGTTATTAGCGGGTGTTGATATCTCTCTAATAACTGTGCCGGTCAGGCGCTGTGCACAATTTTAGAGGCCATAAGTGGGCGTGCTATGTGCGCAAACTAGTAACCTAACTAGTGCCCGATTCCGAAAATTGGAACCACGAAAAACAATAAAGAAAAAACAAAGATTATAATCTGTGGTGTCACAGCCTATTTATTAGACAGCTAGTCGACCAGGCTAGTTTTTTGAGTACCCGCGCTTCGCCATGACCAAAAAGATATTGAGCTAAGAAAAATCATGATCAGTCGGACTGAGCCAGAGAATCCCGGGTGGAGTTTTTTGCGTATTTTTTCGCTTTACACTTTGGTCAATTTTTCTTTATTGATTTGTTGTTAGTGTTTTAAATCAGGGAACTACCCGTACTGCATTCCAACGAGTACAATGTGAATATTCTCTGACACAAATTGTGAGAATTGCCACCACACGTGTGAGCTATTTTCGTATAAAATCAAGTATCCTCTGGCTCTAAGCCATTCTGGAAATCTGGTGTTTTTTTTTTCCTACGTGTGTAGTTCTAGTTTCCTATTTTTTTCCCCTTTCCGTTGGGATTTCTTGAGACGAGGTTAATTTAACTCTATTTAGATTAAAGAATATACATATCACTAAATATATATGGATTAAAGTAATTACGTCCAGTGGCGTCCCGAAAGACACATCAACCAATATTTTTGACAAAAAAAATTGTGCCTCACTGGCTTAATTAATTGTTATATTTTTTTTACAATAATTTTAAACAATTAAAAATAAATGTATGCCTTTTGTTTTTTTCCTGGATTCATTTTTCAGAGAAAAAAAATAAAACTATTGTATGATCAAGATATGTATCAAAAACAGATGGACTGTGTACTAGGGTGTCCGTTATTTACATTTACAAAGTTGATCATTTCTCTCACATATTCTCGTACAGAATTGGAGGCTCTACAAAAAAGGTCTCTTACAATTTTTCGATAAACCTACTCCTTCAAAAGTTATTCACGGTTAAAGTTATCCACTCAGTAAATTCCTAAATTCTTCAACTTTTTTGACAAAATTATCATTATTTTTGAAAAATGTAATCTAATACTGTAAAAATATACCTTTCTGATGATGTTAAGGTTGGGAATTAAGAAATGTTCAAGTCTAATGAGGTTTAAACCACTTAAAACTGTGGGTTGGAAGTTGGAGAGTTGCATGGTCCGGCTAGACGCAAGTGACTATAGTCGAGATACTAAATGCATGCATTGAAGTGCCCTTGGGTAGAAAAAAACCGTATCTTGGCAAGAATGTTTCTAAAAATAAATTTAAATCGTCAACTCAATAGAATTTTCTTTTTAGGAAAATAACAGAAATTTACCGAACTTACTTAAAATTAGTTAAGTACTGCAAAAGAATACAAGCTCAAAAATAATAAGTATTAGAATCAACTACCTGTCATGCATTTAATTGTTTTCCATGATTTAAAATTGTTTTTTCGAATCATGGAAAAAAAAAATTTAGGAATTTACCGAGTGGTTAACTTTAACCGTGAATAACTTTTGAAGCAGGAGGTTATCGAAAAATTGTAAGAGACCTTTTTTGTAGAGCATTCAATTCTGTATAAGAATATGGAATTGTAATGGCTGCCAGAGAACAAAATCGAGAGAAAAAAAAATTATTGGGAAATGAATCGTCTTTGGGGCAAGGTTTATTGTGAATATTAAGGGTTTACAATGGTCTGTTATTTTTTTTTAGACAAAAAAACTAAAAATTTAGAGGGCGCCGTGAGAGAAACGATCAACTTTGTAAATAAAGGACACCCTAATGTCTAATGTATACAGAGAAATGTTTAATTTTAAAATCACTCAAAAAATTGTCCACTGGTTGGGTCTGGTTTTGTTTGTGGTTTGATTTGGCCATAGAAGGGTACTGAAAACATGTCAAACAATATTCAATTTTTAATTAAAATTTGAAGAATACTTAATTATAGATGATGCAAATAAACAATGCAAGTTATGTATTGCGCAATTAATTTGACAATATATGGGCCTCTTTATGGTCACTAGTCATTACTTAATACACTTACCATTTTCGGCAGTTAGAACACCATGCCTAATAAGAAAATCTAAAACAACAGGCGCACTAGTAGTTTTAAAATCATCTGCCAACATTTTTTCTATGCATTTTGAAACTGGCAGTATTTCAAAACTTTCAACTTCACCATCAGCATTTTCAGGAACAAATTCTACTGGTAATTCTAAGTCAAACACAAACTCAGTATTTGGAAACAAACCCCTCTCTGATTCAAAATAGAACCTTCAAATAACAAGATTTACTTATTACTATATGATTAAATATTTGTTGTCATTTACTTACGAAACACATCCAACATTAATTAGGTTTTGTAACAAAATTGGAGGAACTGAAGCTTCTTCCATAGCTTCTTTATTGGCCGTTTCCAAAATACCATGACCAACTGATAAACCACCACTTACCATGCTATCCCATTTACCTAAAACCAGATGATAATGTTAAAGGCTAATAAATATCATTGCATAATTTACCCGGCCATGTTTGCTTGGTACTAGATCTCTTTTGAAACCATAAACAATGCCCTTTTTCAGGATGTTTTACAAAACCATTAATTGAAATGCCATAATTTTGAATGCCAAAAAGACAAGTAGCTGACCTATCCATTTTTAAAAGGCTCTGAGTGTTAAATCCTGTTTTTACCTCAAAACACTAGAAATTAAATATGTGAAATTAATTTTCAAATTAACTATGTAATTTTTTTACTTCACCTCATCTCTCCAGCCTTTAAGAGTAACAAAAGTATCCTTACATCTAAATTCTCTTAATACCTCATCAATTTTAACACTCCTTTCTTGATAATCCCTAAAAGCTGGATTCAACTCCACACATCCAGCAGTAATATGAAAGACCTTAAAGTAATAAAGGTATTATACAAAAATTAATTTCTCAATACCTCTTAAAATAATGAGAATTAATCCAGTTACCTCTGGAAAATATATTAATTGTTTCATGACATCTGGCCTAATCAATCCAACTTGATAACCTTCGACAATAAAAGGCTTACATTCAGAGGAATTGAATCCTAAAAAATAATATTTGAATTTGTAAATGGGTGGTGTAATAAATCAATATTTTTCATTCTATGCAAACTATGGAACATTTAAGCTAAAATTTGAAATAATACACCTTTAAGTCGTTATTGGCAATGGTTTACTTACCTGACACATAAAAGCAATTAAATTTCTTTGCAAGTTTTAAAAGACGCGACATATCTTTAACATCGGTGGACGCAGACATTTTTCGTTATTTACGTGCTCCTCAGTGCTCCTACTAATTCCCTACCGTGACCGTAGAACCAGGGCGCACCTCTCGCACCTAACGTTTTAATTTTACTGACGTCGTATGACAGTTAATGACTGACAGTTGAATTTTATCAGCTGATTGTGTCACTAGTTTTTTTATTTTTTTAACTAAATTGCTGTCAGAATTTGACAGTGACAGTGGATGAAGTGAAAAGTGACATGACAACAAAAACTGACAAGCGTATTTTGTGAGCGTATTTGTTTGTGACGTGGAGTAGAATTTCGTGTTCTGTTTTAATTATATTACATTAAGTCTCTCCTCAAAGTTAATTTATATCTCTAAAACAATGAGTGGTTTTAAAAGAGATAAGAAGGAGGAAGAAGATGGTATAACATCAACGGCTTTTTTCGATTTAGCTATAATGAAATTTTTCAGGTGGTGGAAATCCATTTCAAAACATTGAGAAAACAATAGTTTTACAAGAAGCTCGCATTTTTAATGAAACATCAGTTAATCCAAGAAAATGCACACCTATTCTTACAAAATTACTGTACATGCTCAATCAAGCAAGTATTAATTGTGGTCTGTTTGTATATATCCATAACGTATGTTAATTTAGGGTGAACAATTAAGTGCTAAGGAAGCCACTGACGTCTTCTTTGCAATGACAAAACTATTTCAATCTAAAGATGTTATACTTAGACGATTAGTATATTTGGGTATTAAAGAATTAAGCTCTATTGCTGACGATGTCATTATAGTAACATCTAGTCTTACAAAAGATATGACAGGGAAAGAAGATCTATACAGGGCAGCAGCTATTAGAGCACTTTGTAGTATTACTGGTAAAACAGAGCTTTTAATAGTTTTCATTAAACTTAATTCTTGAAATTAATAGATGCAACTATGTTACAAGCCATAGAGAGGTATATGAAACAAGCAATTGTGGACCGCAATCCAGCTGTGAGTTCTGCAGCTTTAGTTAGTTCACTTCATATGACTAAAATTGCACCAGAAGTTGTAAAAAGATGGGTAAATGAAGCACAAGAAGCTGTTAATAGTGACAAGTAACATTTGTATGTTTTGTACTGTATATCTATTATTTATATATTTTTCTAGTATTATGGTTCAATTTCATGCTTTGGGTCTTTTATATCATATTAGAAAAAGTGACAGATTAGCAGTAACTAAATTGGTCGCTAGATTAACAAGAACAATGTCATCGAAATCACCATATGCTGTTTGTATGTTGGTAAGTGAATTTATGTGATATTATTAGATTAATCTTGTAAAATACTCATGATTTTATTGTTGGAGAAGTTTCACCCAGAACGAGCGAGAATAAACAAGCAAATATCGAGAATTTATAATTAGTGTGAAGAAAATAGGCAGGTGGAGAAAATGAAGCTTTCCTGTTTAAATTTTCTAGTTTTTACTTATTATTCTCAAGAAAATTTATAATTTTGAGAACATTTAGAACAAAAAGAAAAAATCCATAACAAATAAATATAAATAGCAAATCAGTAGCTAAATATATACAGGGATTGGCAATAGTGCGTCAGACATCTGTAGCTTCTAGAATAAAAAACTTGGCAAGTTTGTTTAAGTGCAAACTTAAAGCTTCTGTGCCTAAAGTATGAAGAGAGAAGAGTTCGTGAGGTTCAGGAAAATATTTTAACTTCTATAGGGTGGCTCAAAAAAGTGTGAGTGTATCGGGATGATTTTAAGGAAGACCCTGTATATTATTGCATTTTTATCTTCCTTTCAGATCACTTTACATAATCCTAAGATATGAGTAAATATATTTCGATAATTTCAGAGATATTAATAAATAAATAAAAAATATATTTTTTTCAGCTTTAAAAAAATTATTAAAAATACAAGAATTGTCCTGAAATCAAAACTATATTAGGTATCTACTTTAGATGGTCTGAACTTACTTTGCTATAAATATGGTAATCGTCAATCATACAGGATGTTCAAAATTCTACGCCATACTTTCTAAAATATATATATTTTTTTTAATGGAACACCCTGTATATAATTTTTTCGATAGAAAATTTAGTTTAGAATTTAGAATAGACTTTCGTAGATATTTGGGGTTTTATATTTCATATGGCATTTTCCACAGTAAATTTTTATCAAAGCCACCCAATGATTTTTCGCTCGTATTTTACCGTTGAAAGAGCCATATGAAATAATACGGCATGTATCTGCTATAAAATCCCCAACTAACAAAAAAATATTATATAGGGTATTCTGTTTAAAAAAAACAAAGACAAATTATTTTATATTTTAGAAAGTTTGGCGTAGAATTTTGAACACCCTGTATGATATAAGATTATAATATTTATAAAAAAGTACGTATAGACCATCTAAAGTAAATACCTCGTGTAGTTTTGATTTCGGATCGTCTAATGTTCTCAGTGTATTTATAACATTCCTAAATATTCCTTAAAAAATTAAGAATAAGGTTGAAAAATATACAGGGGGTGGCCCGAATTGTATTCCGGAAACTTCAGCAGCATGTTCTGCAGATAAAAATAAGTAGAAAAGTTCGTATAAATGAATGTCCTAAAATGCTTTGATTCGGAGATACAGGGTGTCGAAGTTTCATTTTTATTTCGATTTTGTCCAAATAATTTCTGAAGTGACGTCAATATTTGGATGAAAATTGGTGTCTGGGTGTTTTTTGACATAAGAAATTTGATTTTGATGTCAATATGACTCCTACTTGTAGAGGGCGCCACCTACATGTGTTTTAACTGTTTTGAAGCGTAATAAATTTTCATTCGTACATGTATAAAACTACTGAGTGAAAAAATATACATTTCTGTGATTTTTTACGAAAAAAATATCTCTTAGTAAAAATCGCTACGAGCAACCGTTTTCCAGATATTTAGAATGGGAATAGTCAATACTTGTCATTATTGACAAAAAATAAACAAATAAATTTTTCTGCGAAAAAATGATGATAAAACAGTTTCTGTTGAACACATATATATTTTAAATTTATGATTTCAGTCTAATAACTATCTAGTCAACATGTTCAGTTCTTGTCAATAATGACGTGTATTGATAATTTAGATTCCAAATATCTCGAGAACCATTACTCGTAGCGGATTTTACCAAGAGACCTTTTTTACGTAAAAAAAGTCGTAAATGTATATTTTTTTAATCAGTAGTGTTATACAGGTACGGACGAAAAATTATTATCCTTCAAACCATATGCAAGTAATATGTAGGTGGCGCCCTCTACAAGCTGGAGTTATATTGACATCAAAATCAAATTTATCATGTCAAAAAACTCCCAGACACCAATTTTCATCCAAATATTGATGTTACATCATAAATCATTTGGAAAAAATCGAAATAAAAATGAAACTTCTACACCCTGTATTTCCGAAACTAAGCATTTTAGGGCATACATTTATACGACCTTTTTTACTTATTTTTATCTGCAGAATATGCTGCCGAAGTTTCCGGAATACAGTTCGGACCACCCTGTATATTTTTTATTTATTAATATCTCTGAAATTCTCGAAATATATTTACTGATATCTTAAGATTATGTCTGTAAAGTACTCAAAAAGGAAGCCAAAAATGCAATAATATACGAGTGTTCCATTATAAAAAAATCATCCCGATCCACTCACACTTTTTTGGGCCACCCTATAGAAGTTAAAATATTTTCCTAAAATACATCCTCGTACATACTTTCGGTATGCACTTAAACAAAATTCTCAAGTTGGTTATTCTAGGAGCTATATATGCCCGACGCGCTATCGCCGGATCCTGTATAATAAAGGAAGGCATAATAGTATGCTGGGAAATAGCCGAATTCTTTTTATAAAAAGCTAATGCTGTTTAGACTCAAAAATTAGTAGTGGGAACTATCGAATGAATACTATCGAAACATTCGATAGTTGCAATTCATTCGAATAATTCGATAGTTAGTAAGAAAACATTCGTTCAAAAACTATTCGAATAAAAATTATCGAATAGATCCGTCATCTGCCTTGAAATATTGTATTCTAGTAATTCGGCAGCAAAAACCATTCATTTATAAAATTCATTCATTTATTCGTCAGGATCGATTATAATAAAATATTAACTGAATTTTAGTTGTCGCCCGGCGACGTAGGTTTCTTTCCGAGAAACCCGACAGCGGTCAGTGGCAATGCTATGAAAGAAGCCGGCATCTTTGATTTTTTGCCGAGTCAGATATAGATAAGGACACATTATTTTTTTTATTGAGGTGCTAGTATTTACACAGAAAATACATTATGAAGGGCGCTGTTGCCATATTTTGGTATTAGTTGATATTAGCAAGTTTCGCTTTAGTTAGTTAGGGATAGTATGTCTATATATTCTGCATTTTTTTTATTAATATTCTGTTGTTACACTGCAATAATACTTGTTATTTTGGATGTAGAGGAAAATGATTTTTAATGTTTTTAAGCAAAGACTGGTTTAATAAATAATAATAACAGTAATAATTTGTTATACCTATTAACAACATAATTTAAAATCATTTAATATAAATATTTTTTTTAAGTAGTAGCAAAATATAAACAACAAATTAGATGTCAAAATTATTTATATTAGATCCTATTTAAAAATAATATAGTCTCTATTTTTTTTGTGTGTGGCAACGTTGGTTTATTAAATAGTAATAATTACAGAACTAATTTGTTATATTAACAACAAATTTTAAAATCATGAAATATAAACATTTATTAATTTTCTAAGCATGCTGTGTAATGGAGGGAAAATATAAATAAAAAATTAGAAATCAAAATTATTTATATTAGGTGCTTTATATTACTATTTAAAATTATATTTACTTTTACTGGCATTTACTTTAAAAAATAAATGAAATATTTCTTCGCAAAAAACTACATGCAAGAGAATTAGCATAAACAAAATACAAACATCGTTAACTTTTTTTTAAATTGGCACGTGTAAAACTTTTCATTTTGATTTTCTCACCCCATAGTTTGAGTTCGATAACCATTTACTTAACCACATTACTTAAATATGATTATTAAGTTCAACTAATTCATATTATTAAAACATCTAAAATACAAATATGTATTTTTAAAATTAATTGTAAGTTCATCTCATCTCTCTTAAAAATTGCTACTTCTCAAAATTTCCCATTAAAAAATAGACCATATACCATATAAAATTAAATAATTGAAAGATCGGACTATGGAAAACTACACAAATTTTCGGAAAAATTTTGACCACACATTTGCACACAATCGTCAATAAATAAAATTCAAAATTAACTACTATTTTAGTATTTTAACTATTTTAATAAACGCAAAAATAGCACAGTATTTATACGGCGAAGTTATAAAAATTTGGAAGAACTAATAATGCACTGACGCATACAAAAATCAAACGAATACTAAATTTCATTTATCAAAAGCATTCCATAGTCGTGGCTCAACGATAACCATTTAGTCGCACGGCGAGGTTGTCACATATGCTTTAGTATACAAATGAATGAATTATTTTATTCGAATAAAACCATTCGATAGTTGAGATCATTCATTCATTAACCATTCGATAGTCTAATTCATTCGATAGTTCCCATCGCTATCAAAAATACAGAGTCATTTAAAAAAAATGTCAAAAATGTCTATAAGGAAAGTTCTTGTTTGTGCTTATACCATAGAGTTGCTTATACAGGCTCATTTGTGATCATACCTGCTCTTATAAGGGAATGCTCTCGCACAATGATCCTGAATCCTGTTCCCTGTTCCCTTGTCAAGAATGAGAAAGTTCTCTCTTTTATAGCACTAATTGTAATGATGCTCTGATTTGCAGATTCGTATAGCAGCAAAATTGATAGAAGAGGAAGGTGCTGATAGTAATTCGCCATATTTTGACTATATTGAGGCATGTTTCCGTCATAAATCAGAAATGGTAGTTTATGAAGCAGCATATGCTGTTGTAAATCTCAATCGTACCACAAACAGAGAATTAGCTCAGGCTATTAGTGTTTTACAGCTATTTTGTGGATCACCTAAACCTACACTAAGGTAATGTTTTGAATAAATATTATAGGCATGTTTAGAATGTTTGTTTTTTAGGTTTGCTGCAGTAAGAACACTAAATCAAGTTGCTATATCCCATCCAGCTGCTGTTACAGCTTGTAATTTGGATTTGGAGAATTTAATAACAGATTCAAATAGGTCTATAGCAACACTTGCCATTACAACTCTGTTAAAAACAGGTTGAAATTTTTAACATAAATAAAATACCGTGCTGGCAACTCTTACTTTTAGGTCGGTATTTACATGTGTGGAAGTAAATCACATAGGGATCTTATTAAGTCAGAGTGAGAGAAATGCGACGGTGTGCGGTTGCCACATTTCTCCGGTACGCCCTTCTCTATCAAGTAAAGTAAAATCACGATCGCAAACCGCTTATTTTTAACACACATATTTTTCGAAAAAATAACTAGGTTTTTACCTAGTTTTAATGATTTTTCAGTAGATATGTTTCTGAGCATCTGAAATGGAATTATAAGGATATCGTTAGGGTATCCAATTTTTTATAACGAGAAAACGTCAGTAATCGCCATAATTAAAAAACAAGCGATAACTCGAGAACCACTTTAGATATTGAATTTTTATTTTATTTTGAATTTCGGATCTTTTACAAGATGTTTAAATAAAAAAAAATCATTAGGCATGTTTTTTTAATCTCGACCCAAAACTAACCTTTGCCAGTCCTTAGTATAAAAATATAAGAGTATTTTCATCTGATAAACTTCACGTTTCAGGTGCGGAGTCTTCTGTTGACCGTCTTATGAAACAAATTGCGACATTTGTATCAGAAATAAGTGATGAGTTTAAAGTTGTAGTAGTGCAAGCTATTAGAGCCCTAGCTTTAAAATTCCCAAGAAAACATAGTGTGTTGATGAACTTTTTATCTGCTATGCTAAGAGATGAGGGAGGTCTGGAATACAAAGCCTCTATTGCAGACACTATAATTACCATTATAGAAGATAATCCAGAAGCAAAAGAAACAGGTCTTGCTCACTTATGTGAATTTATTGAGGATTGTGAACACGTATCGCTTGCTGTCAGAATTTTACATCTATTGGGAAAAGAAGGTCCCAAAACAAAACAGCCATCGAGGTATAACTTCAGTCGTTTTTATTTTAATTTTCTCTAACTTTTGTGGTTTATGTTTAGATACATACGGTTCATTTATAATCGTGTTATTTTGGAATGTCCCTCAATCAGAGCTGCAGCTGTGTCAGCTATGGCTCAATTTGGAGCTTCTTGTCCTGATCTGTTGGAAAATATCCAAGTTTTACTTGCTCGGTGTCAAATGGATTCTGACGATGAAGTTCGAGATCGTGCCACTTATTATAGCAGTATTTTGAATAGACAAGATAAAAGCTTATACAACAATTATATCTTAGAAACACTACAAGTATTCAGTGTAGGCTAAAAATGTAATTATTACTGAAGTTTTAATTTTTAAGGTATCTGTTCCTGCCTTAGAGAGGACACTTAAAGAATACACTAACTCAAATACTGAACAGCCATTTGATATCAAAACTATTCCAGTAAGTGTAGTTAGTAAACCGGATGATCACGAAGTAAAACAAAAAACGGAAGGCATGTTAATTAGCTCTGGTCCTGCAAAGATTACTCCATCTAGAGAAGAAAACTTTGCCACAAAACTTAATTCACTTCCAGGTAATTATTCATTGTCTTTAGTAGACATCTTTTTTCATTTAATACATTATTCTAGGCATCCAAATCCTTGGCCCTCTATTTAGAAGTTCAGAAATTGTTGAATTAACCGAGTCAGAAACCGAGTATGTTGTCAGATGTGTTAAACATTGCTACACACACCATATGGTATTACAATTTGACTGTCTAAATACTTTGAATGATCAATTGCTTGAAAATGTTAGGGTACAATTAGATACAAGTGAAGGTCAGCTATAATTTCTTTAGTAACATCCTTGTTTATATATTCTTAAAGTTGTTTAACCGACTAGACAAAATGTGCTGCCAACTGGAGGACAAATCGTGAACCTTTCGGGGCGGAGTCAAAAAAATCGATTATTTTCGTTATTTTCCTCAGAGTAATGTAATAATATAGCCCGGGTTTCTGCGAACTTTAATAATGATCAGCTGATTAAGAAATTTAAACGAAACTTTTATTTTATTGTAAATTGTGGATTATTTTTGCCTGTTATTTTAAGAATTCTAAACCGTATTAACAAAGAAATTATTATTTCGATATGTTGGTACATTATTTATAATTTATGATAATGCTAATTGCTGTTATTAATATTTAAAAAAAAAGTTACATACCTATTTTAATTTGATTTAATGCACAGGTTTATAAAAGAATCATTTCTTAGATTATTTTATTCTAAATTGAGTGCTTTACGAATTTTACGATATTTTTTTTGAAAACATAAATTTTGTACATTTTTGATGCCAACTAATTGGCATGGTATTATTGGTATGGGAATTAGCCAAGAAAGAAAAGAATTGGCTATAACTTGTAATTTTTCGAAAAAAAACATATTATACCTATATCGCTGAAAAGCTTAAAGAATGGCGCTTTTTATTAAGTCATGGCCAACTAGGATTTCCATTTAAAAAAAAACATAATGTTTGTGTCATATGTCAAAAATGACAGGCTTTAGAAAAAAAACAGAAACACAAACTCATTAGGTATGTGATTATCTACAACTTTTATCTGCAAACTTTTTGTCTAAAATACCGTATAATCGAATAAAACGGCGTCAGCGATGGCTATGAAATGACGATCGATGATATTTCCCATATAATTTTATTTATAAAATGACAGCGATCTTCATCTCATAGCCATCGTTGACGCCGTTTTTATTCGATCATACGGTAGTTTATAATGGAATTAGAGACAAGTTTTAAAATAGACAAAATTTGTTTTTTTTTCGAAATATCTAGTAAGCCTTGAACCTCTCCGAAAAATCTGAAAGGCGCATATTTATGACCCCACAAACTGCAATTCTTTCTCCATTTAACCGACTCTCTATCTCCAGTAGTTTCCGAGATATCCATAGAGAACATCGTAGGAAACTCACCCTGTATAGTATTTAGAAGCTAACTATTATTATTATTTGAATAGATTAATTTGATTAGTAAGACTCGATTAATTTAATTTAAAATAAATTTGATCAGATTTTTTTTCGTATATTCTACTACCAGAAAACCAAAATGATAACGCACTTTTCAACAAAGTTGAAGGAAGATATAGTGTATCTATCACAATACTTTATAGAATTACTACAATTAGAAGAAAAACAAAAAGAAAAAATACCCAAATACCTTCACCTACTACTCATCTACAAAATAAACTAATATAATCTCTTATAAAAACACTAGACAACTACTTCTTGTATTATACTACACTGAAAAAATTATCAAACTTACTAATTAATCAAACAAAAAGAAAAAATAACCAAATTATCCCTCCACCTACTACTTGACTACAAAATAATAAACTATAAGAACACTACTAAACTATTTCTGGTATTCTACACTAAACATTATAATTAAACTTAATAAAATTAATCTAATTTTACACTACAACCACTACAACTACAAAGAAATAAGAACATTTTTTAAACAGAACTTCGATACGTGCGACCAGTATAATAGATCAAGCGGACAAAGAATATAAAATACTTTAAAAGTGTGCATTCAAAAAGCAAAAATATCTCGAAAATTATCTAAACAAACATTTTCTTTCTTATCAGTGAAAAGCATCCGCCTCGTCGGCCTTGCGGAATTTGTCGGGTATTTACAATGGTCGAATTGTATAATTACCAGGTTTTATAGCATATCTAATAGACAAAAAGTATCTGGTCGATTAGTAACCAATTGGCACAGTCCGAAAATTATCGATTTTTATTTTCTCTGTTTTTATTGGTCGCTTCAAAATTCAGAGCAACAAAAATATTTTTCTGTAGTAAAAGACCGTGAAATACGCCCCGCCATCTGGTGCTTTACATCCATAAACGTCTTAGGTTGAGCTACTTTAAAAATTCATATACAAGGGTAACATATATTTGTGAAGCAAAATTCATTTTAGGGTATGAAATAATAAGTGATATACCTTGTCCAAAATTGCCATATAATGAAACAGGAACAGCATATGTTATAGTTAAATTTCCAGATGGAGATTTACCAAACAGTATTGCCACTTTTGGTGCTGTTTTAAAATTTGTTGTTAAAGATTGTGATCCTGCTACAGGTTTGCCTGATATTGATGAAGGTAACTATGTTTGTATATATTTTCAAGGGACGTGTAAATATTATACACCCAAACCTTTAATTGTATTGTTTTTCAACTTTAATCAATAATATATTATGCTATACAGGGTCCGGCAATAGTATGTTGGCCATCTGTACTGATCTGTTGCTCCTAGAATAAAAAACTTGGGAATTTTGTTTAAATGCAAACCTAAAGCTTTTTTTATCTAAAGTACCTATGTACTAGGATATATTTCAGTAAAATAGTTTAATTTCTACAGGGTGGCTCAAAAAAGTGTGAGTGGATCAGGATGATTTTTTTTAAATGGAGCCCAATTTATAATAATCTTTGCAAAGATTGTCAAAATAGTGTGAAATGTCTGGGCTTATAATGTTTACCTTTACCTATTTTTAGCTTTCTTACAATTTTTTTTTACTAGGATATGATGATGAGTACATGCTTGAAGACTTAGAAATAACTCTTGGTGATCAAATACAAAAAGTCAGTAGGGCAAATTGGGGATCGGCCTGGGAAGAAGCAGAATCAACGTTTTATGAAATGGAAGATACATATTCATTAAGTTCTATGAACACTTTAGAAGAAGCTGTTATTAATATTATCAAATTTTTGGGATTACAACCTGCCGAAAGGAGTGATAAAGTACCCAAGGGGAAAACTACACATACTTTACTTCTCGCAGGTAAATCTAGGATTGAAAAATACAGGAATTCTACTATTGTAGTTTGTTTTAGGTATTTTTCGTGGCGGTATAGATATTTTAGTTAGAGCTAAACTTGCTCTAGCTGATGGAGTTACTATGCAGTTAACTGTAAGGTCAACAGATGAGAGTATTGCTGAACTTATTACATCTGTAGTTGGATGAAGAAGGCTAATGCTATTTTTAACTGTACAATTCATTACTTAGAAAATTATATTTAAATAATTTATGTTTCTTAACCAAAAGGAAGTCATATAAAATACCTACATATTTATAACTTATTTTTATTCTACCTATGAAAATCATTGGCTATCTTGAGATTTGGCAATTTCATCTTTGAACTGTTGTAGGGTCTCCTTGGCTAATTTTAGTTTATTTTTACATACAGCAATCTCTGTTCTTACTTTTTGTTTAGCATCCAAAATAGATTTCAAAGTTTTTTCTTTTTTTTCTTCAACTAAATGAAAAACTCTATTAATATATTGTATAGAAATACTAATTTGTACAACTTACAGTTGGTGTTATGTTCCCATCTTCCTAAAGTTAATTGTTTGGTATTTGTTAAAAGATGATGCATCAACTGTGTCGGGTCCTGAAAAACTATTTCATCATAACTTTCTAGCACCAAACCTTTTCCTTGTTCCATTCCTATATCTTGAGTTCCTTCAGAAGGAAATAACTTTAATATATGATACATCGTTACCTATAGAAAATACTTGTTAGAGTTATTAAAACTACACTATTTTAAAGGATCAAAATAAAAATAATGATAATAAAATTAATGGTATAATAATGGCATTAACTAACTTACAGGTCTCTCATTAGGATCATGAAAGTGTATTTTAATAACAATCTCAAACTCTCCCCATCCAGTTTCACTTATTTCATATGGCGGTTTAACTACTATTCGATTCTGATTAGTGTAACTTTCGTGTAGTTTAAAATGCACTTTTTTAACATATGCAGACATATCTTCATTATTATAAGGCTTTACGTAAACTGTCCACTGGTGGGTATGTCCATCTTCTTCTCGTTTTTTGCCAAAATATCTCGCGATATTACCGTAAACAATCGGTTTCACTATGCAAACACCCTAATAATGGTTCTTTTTAGATATAAATAAACAATAGTAAAAAATTTACCTTCATACGGCCTCCAGAATCAGGTCCAAAATCAGTTGGTAAGCTCATCCTTTCATATATTTTTAATTAAAGAAACATAATATTACAAAGTAATAATATTATATTCCATTATTAAATAGCCAAATTCAAAACAATGGAATTATAACCACAATTTTTCTTCTTTTTACTTTTGAATTTTGAATTGTCTCCTTTTTGCTGCTAGAGTCATATATCGTAGGGCTAATCTGGCATTCATTGATTACGCGGAATTTGAACTGCGGTTCTCAGCCGTATATATTTAATTACCAGTGTCAATCAATCGTTACGAGATATCCGGCCCTAATTAGCGTGGATGGGCCATGATCGTTTTTAAACTTCGGTGATATAAATTACTAACCCTATTAACAGACCGGATAGTCCTAGTAGCTTAGGCCAAATGCCAATAAATTAATGAAAAAAACTAACTTCGCTTTATTAGAAAAGTAGGGTTATGGAGTGGTTGTCATGCTGTTGCCGCCAAATTGTTATTAAATTTTAATAGAAAATTAGTTTTTGTTGTAGAATAAGGGATGGATATTTTGATTGATAATATAACTTCGTTGTTTGTTTTTACATTTTTATTTTTAATCGTGTATGCAATTATACTTAATATTTATTTCATTAATAAGTAGGTGATTATGCATATACTTGCAATGTTGAATTCTAATGAAGTCTATTTTAGGAATGGTTTTCAAATAAAAGTGAATTGTTGGTTTTGTAACAAAAATTCTAAAGTGTTATACGCAAATCGTAATAGTTTTGTGTGCCCATTTTGTACCCAATATAATGGATTTAACAAGGTTGGAAATTTATATACCTATAATGGATATAGAATCTCATATTGTTAATTTTTTAGGAAGGTGACTACAACAAAGTGATACAAGCACAACATAATTTATCTTTAAACGCTCTCAATTCTAATACATCAAAAACTCAAACATATTCATCTATACTGTGGTCTAATAATTTATGCAATGAGTGCAACAGAAATCAACAGTTAAAAATTCTACAGTTGTCAAAATATGAACCACTAAATGAAAAAAAATTTGATGTTGAAATTGAGCATTTTGAGTAAGTATAATTAATACATTTTAGTACCTACTCTATATTATTCATAATATACTTTTTTTAAAATTGATTCGTTTAGGAAACAACTTAATAAAACATATAAACTTTGCAAAACTTGTACCAAAACTGTTAAAAGTACAATTAGGAAACAAAATGCCTGGATCTTTGGAAATAGATTGAAATCTTTGAAGACATTGCAGAGAAAGGGGCTTTCATATCTTAACTTACATAAACAATCTCAGGGACATGAAGACATACATAGGTTTAGTCTTATAAGTTTATTTCTATTATTTATATCAGTTATAAATGTTCTGGTTTTGAATGGTTTTGATTTACTAGTTATTAAGGATATTCTACCAGACTCAATACTGCCAAGTAATGTGATATTTTCTCATATTTATTCTACTATTAATAATAATATAATGTCCATATTTGGTAGATCAAGTATTTTAAACTATTTAAGAACTAATATAACATCAAAGGAACTGTCACTTTTGTACATAAGTTTAATAGGATTCTCTTTAGAAGGTATTTACAGTATAAGAGAAAAAAGCATGTCATTCTGTGGGAAATGTAATAAACTAATGTCATGGATAATACTTGGTCTGACATCGTCAATTAATTTTAATAGAGAAACTAAAGCTTATATTGATACTCTCCAACTATTTTGTTCTCTGTTTTTAATATATAATTATAGTTATACATGTTTTAGTTTCCAAAATTGGAAAAATAAAAAAAATAAAGTAAAATCTAAAAGAAGTCAACTAGACAGTGATGATAGTGAGAACAGTGATTTAGATATGTTAAATAATTCAGAAAAGTCATTTCAAGCTAGAATTAATAGGTGTTCACCATTAACATCCAATATTGAGAATATTAATTTAGATAGAAGTTGTGAACAAACAAAAGGTACTGCACATAGAAGTGTATACAAAAATGGTAGCTTACAACCAAAAAGTAATAATGAATTAAATGAGCATTTTCACAGCCTGAATTTAGGTGCATTTGTACCCTCCAGACCAGGCTCTTGCCAAAATTTTCAAAGCCATAAAACTCAATTTAATCCATTTATGAATAATGCTGCTTGCCAAACCAAACCTCAGTCCTCTAATAGTCTTTACAATTTTGAAGTTATGGATAACATTCCTAGTTCTTCACCAAAACCTTTGCAAAATAATATATGGAACCCCTTGTTTAAATTACCAAATGTTACTTCTAATTTGTCCAATAATGCATCTTTTCTTGAGCATTCATTCCTAAATGAGCCATTCTCAGGTTTAAATAAATTTGAAAAAAGACCAATGTCTAATCAAAATATTTCATTAAATGGTCGCTTTCCTAGCCCTGAGACAAGCATTTTGCAACAAAATAATGATGGATTTTTATCTAGAGATACTTCCAGAGTGTTTTCTGATAATGGATCAATTCATCAATCATATTCACATCAGAAAAACGCTGTTAATCCAATGTTGTCCCAAAGTAGCTTTATAAATAATTCGTTTAGACCTCTTTCACCAACTAGTTTGTCAGGAAAATCTAATCGTACACTTATATCTCCTCCAAGATTGAATCATATTAAAACTTTCCAGTCTGACTCAACAGAATCGGAAAATCTAAACTTATCATTTCATTCCAATGACGTTCCAAGTTCAGGATTTGGGTTTAAAATGAATAACACAAATCTTGGGCGGGGGTTTGTAGTTAATTCGTTACTTACCGTTCAACATCCGCAGGGTTTAGAAACCTCTAATTTACAAATATCTAGTAAAAACAATCCGATTAGCCGATCGTCCAGTAGTAGTTCAGGATTTGTATCAAATGGAGATCGTGCTAAAGCACAAACAAATTCATTGCCAAATTCTAGAGACCATTCACCAGATCGGAACTCTATTCTCTCTGAACCTGCGTTTCACTATAAATTAGATTGAAAATAAATTTTAGCCTTCGCTAACATTAATTATGAAAATATATTATATAGATTTCATGTTATGCAAACTGTATACAGTTAAGAACACCGAAGACACGTTACGACGAATCGCCAATAATATATTTTTCATAATAATGATGAACACTAATTTGACTTTGCTGCTTTCAAACTAACATCATACATTATGGGTTTAAAATTATACAAACTTGTTCAATATTAAAAATTATTATCATAAAATGTCAAGAGAAAAAGGTAACAGTAAAACTTATTTAGCTATTTTATTCTTGTAAGTAAAACTATTGGTCCGTTTTGTATATATATCTTTTTTGTACAAAGTAATTATTTTTATTGTTAATTTTAACTGTGTTCTGCCATACGCAAAAGTTTTTAAAGAATGTTTATTTGACTTTTAAGTTTTAAGCATAAAATGAAATTAATACATTTCTTTGTTTATTGCAAATATTGTATTTCTTGCCAATCAACATTAGTAATATTTATACAGGATGAGTCTTAAATAAGTGCAAATATTTTTAGGAGTAGTATATTTCGACCGCAGAACACGATTATGAGTTTTTTTTTCCCGACACAATTTTTTGGAAATTTTTTAGTTAGAAAACAATTTCTTGAGAATATGGCAACATATGTAGTATATTAAATTTACAAGAAAGAATACAGAAAAGATCCTGTGGTTTTCAAAATTTTAGCCAAAAATCATTATTTTTTGGAAATTTTCAAAATAAAATAGTTCGGTTATTTTGGATATACATATTTGAAAAAACGGTAAAGAGAAAATATGTTTCTTTTATCGAGATCTACCAGCTCTGAAAATATTTGCACATATTTAAGACTCACCCTGTATCTCCCTATTTTTCAAAATCTCTAAAGCTCCTTTTATACATAACTGTTTACATATGAGTTAAGCCCCGTTCACAGAAGTACGTTCTTTCACTGGCGACACTGGTTGACACTTTTGTTGACACCATAAAATAACTTCAAATCACCAATTGCTGTCCTCCTTTCACTCAGCTGAGCAGCTCTGAACTGTTCGAGAACGCGATATTCTCACTCCATTCAATAGTCATAAAGCTCCAGAACTGTTCCGCGCCATATGGAGGCACCAGGCTATCGCGCACCGCTCCTTTCAGAATCGTTCTCGAGTAGCCCCAGGGCGTAAAGCCCGGAACTCGAAGTTCGCGAATGGAGGACAGCAAATGAGAGCTGTAGTAAATTTAAAATTGACAGTTGTTTGACTTTTCTACAAATCTCATTGGTTCTTTTACATGTCGCTGGTGGTAGTACGAAGTTTCAGAATGGGTCTTTAAACAGATGATCGTCTAGAGAACTGACGGCAGTTTTGTGTTCTGTAGACGGTCTTCCATCTAGACCCGTCTAGATTTTATGTTTTACTTGTTAGGTAATTAATAGTAGGTAATTCCATAAAGCAAAATGTAACAGAAATGCAAATCATTTGACAAAATGCCATAACGTCAAAATCCCTCATGTTGTGATTTATTAGTAACATAGTAACTAATACTGTGCTAATGCCACATACACAATAAAATCCACCGGCTGGGAAATGATGATCGATGACATTTCCCATATAAATTTACAAATAAAATGACAGCTATTTTTATTTCATAGCCGTCGCTGACGCCGTTTTTTTTTCGATCATACGATATTATTTGTTGTATCTACATATGTATATAAAATGCTAATGTTTATCTGTGTCGTCTCTACTGAAGTTACGACTTGCTCTAGAAAGTTGCTTTTTTTACTAAAAGATAATTAATTGGCTCTCCTAAAATGTGTAATAGCCGAATTTTTTGTTTTTCATTTGATTTAAAAAAAATAAGTATTTTTTTTCTGATATCGTGGCGGATGCGCCAGGCTTCAACTAGTACCTTATAAAAGAAATCGATACCGGTGCCAAAAGTTACCTTAGCTATTTTGATTGATATAATAATTCTACACACTTAATAAACCACCAAAGATCAGCATTTCTAACGTAACTTGCCACAGTTTTTTCGATTATACGTTATTATAAACCCACAGTTGATTTGGAAATGACGATCGGTGACATTTTATATGTAAAATGATATGGGTACCGAATATCATCGATTAGGCGCCGTTTTTTCGATCATATTTTACTTTTGATTAGAACTAATTTTTATTGATTCTTAATTGAATATTTCTTTCTTTTCCTAGTCATTGTCTAATAAATTTACTTTGTAACTTACAGAAACATACAAAGAATAATATTTAAATGTATATATTTTTGTGATCATGAGTTTTTTTGAATTTGTACATTAAACTGTTTGTTTTATGAACTGCAAACGCATTTTTCTTGTGGTATTCTATCCTGTTCACATTCCCATGTTATTGGATTACACTTGGTCCATATATTTCTTGGATGATTTGAAGGAAACTGCTTGAAAACCAAATTAACTGCGTTTCCACATCTGACTTTAATGGGTGTTGGCTTTACCCTAAAATTATTTTAAATTAAGTCAGCATAAAGTAAGTCAGTAAATATAATCACTTATTCTTACCATCTATGGGATTTGTAATAAGGCGAATCATATTTTTTATAGTCGGTTTGATTGGTTGTTAGAACGGTTCTTCTTGGATCTAATACATCACATTTCCATTCATGAGTTTTATTTTTACTCATATCACTTCTTATTGATAAATTTCCCTACAATTACAGGTTGTTTCAAAAAACGTTCCATCTCTCGTGGAGAAAAATATTCTAGTGGTAGCCCATATACACGTCCCTGGTGAATCTGTCGACACTTTTAGCATTGAAATATGTCGCACAGCACTTGGAAGAAAATTATAAGAAATCGAAAAAAAATAACACTTTTACATCCTGTAACTACGAAACTAAGCAGAATCGGACCCATGTTGATATAAAAAATGAATCTTATTTTTACGTGAGGAAACCCCACGACAGATGGGACATGTTTTTTGGACCACCTTGTATATGAATATACCTCTTTTAATTTAATTGAATAACCTTTTTCCACTAATTTAAAATAACAAACGTAAACTAACATAGCTATTTAAGTATTCCTCAGTTGGTTCATGCTTTAGTAATGCAACTCTCATTTTACGTGTCAATGTTCCTTGAATCCATTCGGGAAAATACTGGTATGATAAGTCATAAGTTGTAGTATAGTTATCGAAATAATTTTGGCTCTGGGATGTGTTTTTAGGAGGAGATATATTATCACCAAACTAAAATTATATATTTTTTTAATAATTATCAAAACATAATATGTTCTACAAATACCTCAGATTTTATTTGTATGTCACTTCGAAAAGTATCATTGAATTCTTTGTCTACAGGACATTTTGGGATGTAATCTGTTTCATAAGATGTATTATGTCTACATTGTTTTTTGGTATATTTTCCTACCGATTCTTCAAACCAATTTCCTACTAAAACGTTTTGGGAATAATAGGTTGGTCTCTAAAACGATCAAATTTATTGGATATTTTTTCTAATCAACTAATAAATAAAAATGTATATTTACTTCATAGCTTAACCGGGAATTATTCATTTTTTAGGACCGGACAAATTTAGTTTTTAGGTGTACAATGACATTACAAAAACTGTTATTTATCGTTGACAATTTAACCCCCGATCAAACGAAAAAAAAAGGAAAAAAATATCGCTCCTAAGTGGTAGCATTTTGAAACCACCTAGCCAATAGGATACGTAGGTGTAAAATTTTACTTTTCACTCTTGTTTCATTATGTAGATGTTAAGCTGCGTATAAATATGTCGAGACGAGTGCGAGAGACACCCGAGACGAGTCAACCTCAAGCGGATTTGAGGTTGACTCGTCATATTTGTACGGGGTCTGAGCTTCGAGCCGAGCCTATGCCCAGTCGGACGGCGTTGTCTCCGTTTTTTCCGGAGCCTTTGGCGAACCATCAAAAGGATTGGGGCGTCTATTTAACCAGTGGCGTATACACCGCGGCTCCGCGGAACAAGTGCCTCGAGTCTCAAGGGGCTCGGATTCCACATCCCATTTTTATATAAAAATAAATATTCTTTCCTTTATTTGTAATAATGTTAATAATGCATCCTAACTAGAAAGATGCAATTTTGTCTTCTCTAAAATAGTATAGGTAAGTTAGCCAAAGTAGGTAAATCTCATATACAAAGATTTATTAGTGATTTCTTTTATAAAAACATGAAAATTTTATGAAAAATGAATAAACGTAATGAACTTTTCGTCGAGTTATTAACGGCTCAAACGTAAATTATGCGCTATTTCTGCTGAACGGAATTAAAGATGTAAAACAAGCTTCTTTACATATAGGATACATAGAAGATAAGAGAGGCAAATCGAGTGTGTTGAAAAAGGTGGCCATGCTCTCAGAAGTTCCTTACGGTACTCTCATAAATAAAGGGAATCGACAAAGAAAGGAACGATTCGATATAGAAAAATCCAGAAATTTGAACTATCCAGACTACTAAGAAACTTAATTTATGGCAAATATGAAAATAATAAAGTTCCCGCCATAGAAATAATTAAAAAAAAACTCTCCGAGCTTTAAAAAAACCCTGTTCAGAAAGCACATTACGGCGAAGGTTTAAAAAACTGGGAATTAGATTTAAAATTATATACATAATAATATTTTAAAAATTATTAATAAGCGTGCTGCAATGATGGAAAGCCATAGAATAATAATGTGGCGAATTGAATACCTTGAAAAAATATACAACTTTAGAAATGAAGAAATGCAGATATATTATTTACAATATATGTTCCAGGTTGGCATTTAAATGTAGATTTAAATTAATAATTTAAATCTTAAATACTTAAATTTCTAATTTTTTAAATAAATAAAGTCGAATTAGGTCTTATCTTACAGCGCTTTCAGATGGAACGGAGCGTCCGCGACGGACCGTCCGCGACTTCGAGCAAGTACTATGAGCTTATATGAACAATTTCACCTGGGTCGCGTATGCTCCGTCCGGATGAGCTATCTTGAAAAAACATCCGTGCGGACGCTCTGCGCGTACGGTCCGCTCCATCTGAAAGCGCTGTTACTCTATTTAAAAGTTTTATAGATATACAAACCACATACAAAATATATTATTGAATAAAATAATTAAAGACTCAAAAAAACGGCACTGGCAAAAGGCTCCGCCGCCACCGCTGCCGTGCCGTTATCTCCAGGTATCTCAGTCGGCGTTCTCCAGTTTTTTTTTTAAAACTTAACTTTTTTTGATTGTAAACAGTCCGAATATAATTTAAATTTATCATGAATTCCTTTAATTTATCTAGCTTGTTTTTTTACCTATTTTGAAATTAAACAAACATATACAAGGTGTTTCAAAAAACATGTTCCATCTCTCGTGGGGAAGTTCCTCACGTAAAAATAAGATTTATTTTTTATATCAACTAATCTAATTCTGCTTTGATTCGTAGCTACAGGAGGTTAAAATAGGATTCCCAGCCGTCCTCTATTCCAGAAACAGTCCTCTTTTTGATCTGATTGTCCTCTTTTCTCTCACGTATTGAAAACTTTGTTGCATACCAACTTCAAAATCTAAAAAATATTCGTTTATCGCCACAATGCTTTAAAGAATTGTTAATCTGTGTCTTTTATGTAATTTTATGTTTACTTACTGTTAGTTTATGTGTTGAAAAAAAGTTATTTATATTGTTTATTTTAATAAGTTTTGAGTATAAATATTTTTAAAAGCAAAATAAAAACACTAAATCACCACAATACACCAAAACACTTTTATTTTACACTGGACGCGCGTTTCGCTAACCATGTTAGCATCATCAGCAGATGATTGAAAACTGAACAGTTTATAATCATCTGCTGATTTTAATCTTATTTTAATGGAAGAAATATGATTACACTCCACAGGTATATAACTAGTTGCCTGTATTTATGAAATAATATTCATTATTTGTTTGCCTGGTTGCCTATTTAGTTTATAATAGAATAAACGTCAATATCAGCTGTGCCTAATTTGAACAACAAAAAATATGTGAATTAAAGAATCGAGCAGCATTTGTTTATACCTACGTAAATTTTAATATTTGGATTCTAGAGATATTGAAATCGATAGGTCGCGTGATATAATTGAATGATAAACAAAATAATATGGACTTTCTTTTGTGTCAAAAGTGCCAAGTATTTATGAAGAGAACAGAATAATAATTAGAGGTGTCGCCAGATAGTCTGTCTCCATGGTAACGTCAGGAAGAAAACCCAGAGTAGATTACTAGATTAGATAATCTCCAAAACAACTTATTGAATGAGAAGAGCTATGCCAGGCTATGCTGTTTAATTATTTTAAAATATAAAAGGTAACATCTTTAATTTTTATATTCCTTCAAGAAAATAGAAGAAAAATAATGGCAGACAATACAGAGGAATCGAAGGATAATAATTCACTATGTGAGGAAAATAATAATTTAACAGAAGGCATTGCATCTAATCAAAATGAAACTGATTTTTCACAATGCAATGATAGTATGGATACGTTGACAGACGAAGAAAATATCATAGGACTTGTGTGTGGAGATACTGAAACAAATGAAAATGAACTGTTTGGTGTTTGTGAAGGTGAAGTTAATTTATGTGAACAGAAATGTACAGACATTGCTGATGAAGCAAAAAACAATTATATTAATGCGAAAGAAATTGAGTTCGGGCAATGGTTACTAAGATGGAAAATTGAAAGACAAAGAGAGGGAGATTTTATAGCTCTTGTCTATCAAGGTAATTTATTTTTACTTTATTATTATTATTATAACGAAATTAATCAAATTCATATTAAAATTAAGATTGTCATATTTCGAGTCTGCTTGATCATAAAACTTTTTGATCATATTTGGTATCATACGAGAGAAAAAAACGACGATATTTTTACCTAAAATTATATGGTATAGGTATGTGGAATGTAAACATAACTTTGACATACATTTTTTTTCGACCATACGGTATGTACCTACAAAATAATGAAATCTGATATATCATTAATTTCTTAATCAATACATTTCAATTAATTGTAAATATACCGTTTGATCGAAAAAAAACGGCATCAAAGACGGCTGGAGAATGACAATCTATGATAATTTTGGCGAGGTCACTCTCTAGACGTCATTTACTAAAAATTGACATAAAACTTCAAATATTAACACTAGTTATTAGAAAGGTCAAAAAAGGATAGAACGTTTCCAGACACAGAAATCTATTTCCAAAAAATTATTTTTCTCGAATATTAAACAAAGTACAGGGTGGGTCAAATTCGACGCTTTTAAATGGAAACACACTTTTCTATAGGAGATTAGACGAAAACTAATATCGGTGTCTGGAGCTCAATTTTCATCAAAAACATGATGGTGAAAACCGTACATCAATATCTGTTACCGTTTTGGAGTTACGGGGTGTTTTTCAAAAATATGCATTTTTAACAAATCGCTGTAACTTTTTTGCTATCGAAAATTTTGTATTTCTATAAAAACATTTCCAAAGCACCTTTTTACCTAGAATTTAATGGTTTAAGTATAATTTTTTTTTAAATTAATAATTTAAGAGGGAATTTTTATTTGGGACACCCTCTATATTTTTAATTAACTGAAAGGAATTTAAAATTACCTTTCCAAAAATATAGCACACTTGATATTTTGTTATAATCCCCTTCGAAATACGGAATGTTTAAAAGTTCGCCACTTTTAACTAGTAGGCTTTGGACCCTTTATTGATGATATGCCCTTAATGGAACTCGAAAACATATTTTTCCAGCAAGACGACGCACCGCCTCTGATCGCTGAAGTTATCAGCAAATTTTTGCATCCAATTTCCAGAATAATTGAATAGCCAACCAAGATTCCAGCCGTTGGCCGTCAAGGCCGCCTGACTTAGAATTCATGGATCTAATCCTATCGATTTGCGGAAAAATAAAGGTTCCTTATTCTTCCGTATAGTCTAGAATTAGAAATACTTAGCAGTTATGAGAGGGTATCTTTCACCCCCACTGAGTTAATGAATTCCGCGAGAAATGTTCAAAAACTGCCCCGTCTGTCCATAACAGAAGACGGTCGATATGTCGAACACCTATAGCAAAATCTCATGTCTTGGTTTGCTATTTATTTTTCTTGTTATTAGATATAGTTTAAATGTGTTGATGTTGATTAAATATATTTTAAATAGTTATAAAATTCTGCATCTCTCATAGCAAATATTATTTTCGTTTTAATTGATGCTCACAGCTAGATTTTTTTGCATTACAGCCGGTGCCGTTCAAAGCCTACTCATTTAAAGCGGGCGAATTTTTATATACTCTATATCTCGAAGAGGAATCGAGCAAAATATCAAGTGTGTTATATTTTTGGAAAGGTAATTTTAAATTATTTTCAATAAATTAAAAATATACAGGGTGTCCCACATAAAAAATCAAATTTACTGTTGATAATTCTTAAATTATTAATTTTAAAAAAAATTATACTTAAACCATTAAATTCTACGTAAACAGGTGATTTGGAGCTCCAGACACCGATATTAGTTTTCATCTATCTCCTATAGAAAAGGGATTTTCCATTTAAAAGCGTCGAATTTGACCCACCCTGTACACCATTTAAAAATAATTTTAAAAGAAAGTAAATGACGTCGATAGGGCTTGACCGCGCCAAAATTATCATCGATTTTTATTTCCCAGCCGGCTTGACGCTGTTTTTTTTTCGATCATTATGTCATATGGTACTACGTACTAAGTACTTTAGTAAAACAATTTTTTTAAACATATCAATATAACGTTGTATGTACTTCGTCCCTGATAAATTGATGACCATAGACAAATTATTTTATGTTTTCTTAAATGATAGTTCTGAAAAAAATCTAATCTCTAATTAATATGCTGCAGCGAATAGCGGACACGTGATACGTCAGCAATATTAATTCATAGACTGCTAGACAGGATGAAGTGTCGTCCTCTTTAACAGCCAACATCCTTAATTCCGTTTCGTCCTTACCTTTAAGAGCACTTCAAGGACTCCATTCTTTCGTGTTGTGCGACACGTTCGTATTGTTCGGCTCAGCGTATGTAATTTTATTTTATCAGTTCTATTGCATTAAAATATTAAATAAATAAAAAGGTGTCCCTCTGGGACCTACTTTGATTAATATAGGTATAGCGAGAAAATTTTGAAACGATGAGGAAAAATTACTAGATTTAAAATTCTAACCGCTCATATTAGTCCGTTTTTTTATACGCCATTGCAATCAGTGACATACCTAACTACCGGTATTAAAACGTGTTCATGGAACACGGGCCCGGGCCCGTAGGGGGCCCGCAAGAGGCCAGTTGCAATCCCTACAAATTCAGATTGAACAATTTATTTACTGTAAAATACAAATACAACCAAAGAGTCATTAGAGTAACTAGCAATTTATATTGGGGTGGGCCTGGTGGGGGGGCCTGGGGTTGAGCCCAGGGGGGCCCTAGGGCCTTTGTTTTCTTAAAAATGAAAAATAATTTAAAAAAACACATTTTTTTAATAAAACGTTTACATGAATTTCTCTATCAATAAATTTCATAGACTTGGTTATCAAACCTACAAATTTTCTAAAAAAATAAAAATTAACACATTTTTTGAACACAACAAAATAATATTAACTAAACAAAACTAGAAAACGTCATTTTTACTGCATCACAAGCAAATAAAAATTAATACGTAGCCAAGAGTCATAATTCAGGATTTCTCTGGGGGATGCCCAGCAGTACCTGGGGTGGGGGGCCGGCACCCCCGGGCCCCCCTGTAGTTACGCCAATGCAAAGAGTAGAGATTTGCTACAACCACAAATATGTTAATTTTCTCGTTATTCAACTGCTCAACGTTACTAGGTATATGGAATATGGATTATAAAACTTAATTTTTGTTCATTTCCTTACTTCTTACCGCATAAAAAAATCGTGCTGCTTAGAACCTTAATTTCGTTCCAAATGGCATCGTACGAAGTGTCTCTGAAATCAGCAATTTTTCTGATTTTTGAAACAAATTTATGTAAATTTTGCACAGAGTACGAGTAGATGGAGGATACTTGAAAAGAAATGTTCAAAAGCTAGGTCTAGATTAAGAGCATTAAAACGATTAAACCCTTCGTATTGGTCATCCCGATACGTTGCTTCGTTAGCTTTAAGATCTGAGTAGGTCCATCGATGTACAGAAAGCGTTGACAAATATTAAATTAATATCTAATAAGAAAACAGAAGTCTATGAAGATAAATCCGGAGGCTAAACCTATTAAAACAACATTATAAATGTACGAAACATAACTTTTTTAATATTTTTAGAAAATACCATTATTTCCCAGATGTGGCTTCAAAGGTCTGAGAGACTACTTGAAAGCGTATTGAACCTTAGAAATCAGTTCGATCAATTGAAAAATGAAACCGATAATCTTGCAACTGAGTTAAGCATTACAGCACGATTTAGTAGTAAAAGAAAAAACGATCAAAACTATATTTTGATGAAAGAAATAATCAAAATGTCCTCGAAACAAAGATTTTTTCGGATTAATGTATTTTACAAAAATTTTTATATCAGGTTATAGGTTATTAATTCATATTAACAGGAGATTTTCCTGTCTATAGGAAGTGGAAAGTAACTTTTAAGGAAAACGTAGGTAAGCCTTAAATTTTAACGAAATATGTTTTCAACTATTCCGATGCAGAATTGCAACAGGAAGCAAAGATGTTAAAGACCAATAGAATGTAGAATGTTTAGGAGAGGAGTTAATCACCACGACCTTACAGATCTATTGTGTGTTCCCTTTTCTTGCGTTATAACGAGTTATAACTCATCATACAGTCTCAGGGTTTTAACAAAAGCCAGTATCAGACGGCTCCACAGAGGCCAGCGTCTCCGTCCTCGACATCAGCCGTACCAAAGTTCATGGCACGAATGGTCGTCGTCTCGGCGCACTCATAAGGTGTTCTGGTGTTTCCCCATTTTCCCCACAGAACCTGCATTCGCCGTTGTTTCTCAGCTTCAGCCTACTGAGGTGGTCGTTGAGGAGACAGTGTCCTGTTAGATACCCCGCGACAATCCGAAGATTGTTTTTACTTATATCAAGGAAAACCTTTGATTTTTCTCGGTCGTAAGTTCTGAGGAACTTTTTCGAGTGTCTTAGACCGTTGGAGGACACCCATTCCAGGTTACAGATGGAGTCTTCCAGAATCTTCAGTTCTGCTTTAAGTTGGTTCCTGCTTGGAAAACAGAACGGTTCTGGTCCAGTTAGTGGAGTATTCGCTCTTTTTCTAGCTAGATCATTTGCTTTTTCATTGCCTTCTATCCCTTGGTGAGCAGGCACCTAGAGTAGGAGGACTTTATTTTCTTTGCCTAATTTGTTGAGCTTCTCTAGGCATTCTTTGACCAACTTTGAATTGATGGTAACTGAGTTGATTGCGTTTAGTGCTGCTTGACTATCGGATAGGATGGCAATTTCCTGTTTTGGATAGTTCCTATCTAATAATTAATAATAAATTGTACGCATCTTTCGATACCGTAAATTTCTGCCTGAAGGATGCTGGGGTAGGTGCCCATTGGTTCCTATTTGGATTCTAATTCATTGGTAACCATTGGTAACCTAACCTAACCTATCCCTGTCCCTGCTTTGGTTTTGGAAGCATCAGTATACTTACCACGTTATGATATGGTCTTTTACATGCTGAGCAAGCGTTTCTTCCTTCCAATCCTTCTTATTACTGAATACTACAG